CCGGGGCCGACTCGGGCCGGCCGCTGTCGCCTCGCGCTCGGGGCCAGCGTGTTGCCGTGTTGCCGTGTTGCTATGCAGAAGGAGCTGTGACTCGCACGGCGCCTCTGCTCTGATTGGCCGGGTGAGCGGAGTGCTGCATCCTGAGCCTGGCAGTGCGGAGATGCTCGTCTCCAGCTCTCATGCCTGCCATCAGTCAAGCGTGAAGTCAGCCTGAGAACACAGCCGAGGCTTCTGGGATGCGCTGACAGGCAGCAGAAAGGACTTATACCTTCACCTTCTGTACTGGGTGTGCTTCCCTGTTCACCAGGTGGCATTTGTAGCTTGTGTGAGAGAACAGGAGGGTCAAGCAGGACTCTTCTTGCCTTTTTTTAACAGAAATCCAGGTAGGACGACAAACACAAAGCTGTGATCTAGCTGTGTTGAACCGCATTGGGCTTCTGTGGGCGAGGGGAGCAGTAGTTATGATGGGGAGGAGGGATGTGCCGGTCAAAATATGGCTGGAATCTTGCTAAGTCTTTGCCACCCCAAAGCGCGCACACCACAGCGCCCTGCACTCACGTGTGCGGTGCTCATGCACACAGATCTGCTGCAGCAGCTCCTGCCCAGCCCAGCCCTTTGTCTGCGCAGCAGCCGGGCCGAGTCCTCGGAGCTGCAGCTGCTGGGTCTCCATGGTGACCGGAAAGGGGGCAAAGTTTGGGTTTGTCTCCGCGGGACTGAGAGACTAAAGGGGGGCTTGAATGTGCGTGTCTGTGCGATTGTGCATGCAGGTCACCCACTGTGTTTGCTGGGAAAGGGAGCTGTAAAATCCAGAGGATCAAGAGCTTGCATTTGTGAGATGATGTCCGATTGTGAATTTAGCCGTTGGCATTGACGTAGTTTCTCATTTGCGGGGTGGCGAGCATTTGGATAGACTCATCGCTTACACTGAAGTACAGTCATTCCAGGAGTGCTGTGACTCCGTTACTGCTATCTGTGACAGCGTTTGACTGCATTATTGCCCTTTCTAACTTGAGAGATCAGAGGGTGGGTGGGAATGACGAATGCAAATATTAAAGGCTTCTCACATGGTATTGCTGGCATTCGGCCTTATTGAAGGATAAAATTGGACATTTTCTTCAATAGCCGTGGACACATTGATTCATAGAGCAGCCAACCTATTTTTAAAAAATTGCCAGAACAAGCAAGTGTAACTATCACTGGTCTTAATGATTTTAATAAGTGCAAAGTCACATTGTCTACTGCGTTTGCTTTTTTTATCATCAGGCGGAGTCAAGCCACTCTGCAGTAGGTCATATCTGCTTCCAAAAGAAGAAAACTGCTCTGTGAAGGAGCTCTGGCTGACCACACCAGCGCAACTCACCACAAATGCTCTTGTGCATTTCAGACCCATAGCTGTGGAAAACTGTCCATCCCGGAATCAGAGAACACAGCCTGCTGTGCCATTTCAGAAGCCCCAAGTGACACTGGAAGTAAAGTAAGAGCCTGTCTTTTACATCAGATTTTTTTACAGCAGTGTGTGACTGGACATTCTCTCCCTCCCTGCTAGCAATCCCAGTGCTTTTATAAGATCACATCGCAAGTCTTGCCACACATTTTCTTGTACAGACAACCTTTTCGTAGCTGATTAGAAGATGTTATTTTGAAGCAATATCCAGTAGCAAAAGGAAGCAGCACAAAGAGCAGTAATGGGCCCCTGAAAGCCTCCAATCAATATTAGCTGGTTTGCTCTGAACAGTACTTTCTACCCGATGAGCTAAGACTGTGTTATTAAATACCACTGACGCCGGCTTACCCAGCCATGTCAACAGAGTAACAGACTGCTACACAAACTCATCACCCACAATACTTTCATCATGTAACCACTAAAGCTGAGGTGAATGTGTTTTTACTTTGTATGTGTTTGGGAATTCAATTCTGTACCTGGGGTGCTGTCTGCGTGCAGTTTGGATGTTCTCCGTGTGTTCATGTGGGTTTCCTCCAGGTGCTCCGGTTTCTTCCCACAGTCCAAGGACATGCTGGGAGGTTTGTTGGCTTCTGGGAAAGCTGGCTCTGGCGTGAGTGTGTGCCCTGCGATGCAGCGGATATTTCACAGATGTGCTGAAGTATTAAGATGCAGCAGTTGCTCTGGGAGTTACACGGAGTGCTCCCACTGACACCATACGTTCTAGAGCCGACTCAGGCCCTTAAAAATTATTACAAACCCCCCCCAGTGAGATGAAATGGCCAGGCCCCTGTGCAGCTGGACTGATGGTTGGAACTCTGTGGCAAGGCTCTGCATAACTACCCTAACTCACTCTTCCCAGAGAATCTGCACTTTCGGATTCTGGTGCATGGTGCACGTGGGCGGGGCTGACGGCGGCTGTCTCTCTCCAGGTGGAGATGGTGTTCTGGCTGCTGTCCATGCTGGCCACGCGGGACCGCGAGGAGATGTCCCGCACCCTGCTGACCATGTCCAGCTCCCAGGAGAGCTGCGTGGCCATGCGCAAGTCGGGCTGCGTGCCCCTGCTGGTGCAGATCCTGCACGACGGGCCCGGCGCAGGCGCGGGCGGGGGCTGTAGCCGAGAGGCCCGGGCACGAGCCAGCGCCGCCCTGCACAACATCGTCTACTCGCAACCCGACGAGGGCCAGGCCCGTCGCGAGATGAGGGTCCTGCACGTGCTGGAGCAGATCCGCGCCCACTGCGAGGGCGGCTGGGACTGGGTGGAGACCCACCGCAGCCCCGCCGGCCAGGAGGGGAGCAGCGCCACAGGTCAGGAACCGCCGCGCGGTGCCCAGACTGGACACGGAGGGCTGATCTGGGAACACCAGGCACCCTACACGTAGTTAACCTTTGCAAGGCCCGCAGTACAGGGCCGGGAATCGGAAAGTAGCCCGTTGATGAACAGTGGGCGTCCCCAAGAATTAACATTAAATGTCGTAAAAATCACATACATTTAAAAGTATACAGTAAATGCTCACTAGAAGTTCAGCTCATATAAAAGCATTTATCAAAAAATGTAAAACATCGATTTATCTTAATCTGGCAAGTGCCCAGTCAAAATAGGATTGTGACAGTGGGGACAGTGCAGTCGGAGGGAAACTAAAGCACAGAGTGTGATGATAAGATATGTGCCCTCGAATGCACCTGAGAAAAGATATGTGTTGACTTTTAATAGATGACACAACTTAACGTCCTCATTCCAAGTTATTTCCCTGACTTCAGCGGAGGACCTGTCAGATTATGGAAGCTGTTAATGTTGGAGAGCTACCTGGATACAGCCTTGGGCATAAGCTTTTGATTTAATTAAAACCGTATTAAATGCACTGTTTTCTTCCAACACTGAATGTATGATGCTGAATTCTAGGTAGACATTGCTTCTCTCAGCTTTGGCTGTTCCTTAGGCGGTTGTCTTATTGCAATATTGCACTGTTTCCTGTCCTCAGCCACTCCTGAGCCAGTGGAGCCTCAGATCTGCCAGGCTATGTGTGCAATCATGAAGCTGTCCTTCGAAGAGGAGTATCGAAGAGCCATGAATGAGCTCGGTAAGCCTGGGGGATGTAAGGAACCAAAACCAGCACAGTCTGGGGGCTCCTGACTCCTGACACATCTCACTGCTTCCAATGTCTACATAACATCCATCCATTTTCTAACCGCTTCATCCGATTCAGGGTCATGGCAGAGTCGGAGCACATCCAGGCAATCAGCAGGCGCAAACAGGGTACACCCTGGAAAGTAATGCCAGTCCATCACTGGCCAGATACACACACTCACACCAGGGCCAGTTCTCCCAGAAGCCAGTTTACCTACAACGATGTCTTTGGACTGTGGGAGGAAACCCAGGAGAACACATGGACAACATACAAACTCCAGAATTGAACCCAGGGACTTGATGCTGCAGGGCAGCCATGCCAATCCCCGCAATACCACGCCACTCAACATAACCAGAAACTGCATTAGACAAACACATGCATGCATACTGTACGAGTGAAATTTCCATCGAAACGAATGGAAACTAGGAACTGCCTCGTATGCCTGCAAGCATTGCTGGATGCCTGGGTGTTGAAGCCTCTTTGTTGAAGTGGTGGTGGCTTGTGCGCTTGGCAGGGGGTCTGCAAGCCGTGGCAGAGCTGGTGCAGCTGGACCAGGAGCTCTACGGCACGCTGAGCGAGCCTCTCAGCCTGGCACTGAGGCGCTACGCGGGAATGGCTCTCACCAACCTCACCTTCGGAGACGTCGTCAACAAGGTGAGAGCTCGACCAGCCCCTTCACTCTTAGGCGACTGGACAATTAATACAGGACAAACACCCGATGCACTTGAACTTGCCAAAGGCATTCACTACGAAATGTTTTGATTTTACACAGGCCGCGCTGTGCTCCAAGAAGAGCTGCCTGCAAGCTATTGTTGCCCAGCTTGCTTCTGACAGTGAGGAACTGCACCAGGTAGTGTCCAAAATACTTTTAAGGGTTAAAACTAAACACACTTTAACCACCTGCAGCCTCCAAGCTGGGATCAAAGACACTTGTATGAAGAGCAAGACAGAGGAAACTAGGAAACAGCCACTAATGAATAAGCCTCAAGACATTAGCACAGGATCAATACAGAGGAAAATAAGCACAAATGTCTATATATTCAAATTGTATTGAGAAAGATGTTACATATATTGAATACATAACCCATCTATGCTCTTTCGGACAATCTGAAAACATTTAGGTCGAGTCCAAGACAAGGCTGCAGTGTCTAGAGTCTAACCCAGCAGACAAAGGGCACAAGGCAGGAAAGAGGAAAGACGATTGTGGAAATTGTACCATATGGCATTAGAAACTCTCACCAAACCTGCACAAATGATGCACCAAACTGACTTCTGCCCCATCAAGATGCTCTATAGGTTTTGGAAATTTAAATACTAAGTGACATATCTTTATAGAACAACATGTAAGGTCAGGGGAGGATGACTCAGGGATCCCAAAACCAAGGAAGATCCTTCTTGTAGATGATATTGTCCCTTCCTTCTGCCTTCTCTTCAGGTGGTGTCCAGTATTCTGAGAAACCTGTCATGGCGGGCTGACATCAACAGCAAGAAGATTCTACGAGAGGTGGGCAGCGTGACTGCACTGACCACCTGTGCGCTGCAGGCAACTAAGGTGAGGATTTCTTACCACAGTACCAAATAATTATTTTACAAACTGGATGGGAATTGGCTTATTTTAATAAACCTATTCAAGGACATCATTTCATTATTTGAATGATTTAAGTCAGCAGTCATACACCTATAAAACTGCTCCAAGGAAGAACCTGAAAAGACAGGAACTCTGGGTATGAACGCTGCTGTTGTGTTTCATGTCTTCCAGGAATCCACTCTGAAAAGTCTGCTGAGCGCCCTATGGAATCTGTCGGCACACAGCACCGAAAACAAGGTGGCAATCTGCTCGGTGGATGGGGCATTAGGCTTCCTAGTGAGCACACTCACCTACAAATGCCAGAGCAACTCCCTAGCCATCATAGAGAGTGGTGGGGGCATTCTGCGCAATGTGTCCAGCCTGGTGGCCACCCGTGATGATTACAGGTACCCAGAGACGTCATTTTAGTTCATACTCGGCCAGGAGAACCTATAACCTGGTAGATCCAAACAGCATTTTCACCTGCATTCTTTACAAAAAGAGCTCATAGCACTCAGTAGACACTCACTGCCGGGCATGGGGGTGAAACTATTAGTTTGTAAGTATCACTCTGGGCATTTCTCTAGAGGAAATAAAATTAATCATTTGTTTCTAAAACCTGAAAACTATAAAGAGGTTAGTGTTGTCCAGAGCCTCGAAAAAACAGGACTAAGAATGACTATCTTCATTATGGAAATTTAACATTATGGATAACAACTGCCCATGAAGGGCAAAGTCTGAATCACTCAAGGACTAAATACTGGCTTAGTTTAAACAGATAATTAAATAATTCCCCCTTTATTTGAGTAACACCTCCCTTTATATTTTGCAGGCAAATCCTTCGTGACCACAACTGCCTACAGACTCTTCTGCAGCACCTCAGGTCCCACAGTCTTACTATTGTGAGCAATGCCTGTGGGACACTGTGGAACCTGTCTGCCCGGAGCCCCAAGGACCAGGAGCTGCTGTGGGACCTGGGGGCAGTGAGCATGCTGCGCAACCTCATCCACTCCAAGCACAAGATGATTGCCATGGGCAGTGCCGCAGCTCTCAGGAACCTCCTCACTAATCGTCCGCCAAAGTACAAAGATGCAGCTGTCGTCTCTCCTGGGTCCTGCATGCCATCCCTCTACATGAGGAAGCAGAAGGCACTGGAGGCAGAGCTGGATGCCAAACATTTAGCAGAAACCTTTGATTCCATAGAGAAGCAGCAGAGCCCTAAGCTTCAAAGCATCAACAAGCCGTTGCGACACATTGAGAGCCTGGCTAAAGATTATGCCTCTGATTCTGGCTGCTTTGATGATGATGAAGCTCCCAATGTCTCTACCAGTTTAGACACGGGGAGCTTCTCCATGCTATCCATGTTTCTCAACTCCTCTAACTTTCTTCAGGGCCAGTCCCGCAAAAAGGGAAGTGAACCTGAAAGAGATGTTGACCCACAGGCAGAAGATGGCAAGAAGCCCCAGCCTGCAGATGATGACGTATCTGTGGCAGCAGAGAAATTAGCCAAAAAGATCACCACAACAGTGGCCAAGATCGACAAGCTTGTGGAGGACATCACCATGCACACATCATCAGAGGACAGTTTCAGCCTGAGCTCTGAAGATCACTTCGTGGACTGGCAATATGGATCAGATGAACTCCATGAAGCCAGGGCCAAATCTTGCTCTCCTTGTCGTCTCTCAGATACCAGCAGTTTTGCCCGTAGAGAACGCCTGAGCAGGGCACATGCCCTTCTGCGCCTCAAGACTGCACACACCAGCTTGTCCACGGACAGTTTGAACAGTGGAAGTACCAGTGATGGTTACTCTGGCAGCAAAGACCAGATCCGGCCCTCTGCAAGGTCAGCCACTGTGCAAAGGCGACCAAACAGGCTGGAGCTGAAAGTGGCTCAACAAGGCTATCTAGATAAACATGATCACTGCATTCCAGCAGAAACAAACCCTAATGATGTGGCAGAAAAGGACTCTGAAGATAGAACAAATATGAGCTTACCAAACCAAAGTAGCACCGATGCAGAAGACCAATGCAAAGAACCACCACCACCAACACCAGCCACCGAGCCTACCAAACTCTCTTCTGAAACCAATGTGCCCACTATAAAGCTGTCCCCTTCCTACCAGCACGTCCCCTTAATTGGGAGTGTGGCTAAGTTTGGTATTCCCAGGAATCCAATTAACTCTCAAGGGATGAGGAGACAAGCTTGGATCCCAGCAATAAACAGTGGGGGCATAATGAAGCAGCCTCCAGTAATCCAAGCCCGGAGCCCAACGCTCAGTCAGTTGGAGACCTTGCAGAAGTACTCAGTAGAGAACACGCCAATCTGTTTCTCTCGTTGTAGCTCTCTATCCTCACTGTCATCTGCAGATGGAGCCTTGGACGGGCAGAGCCAGAGTGAAAATGAACTAGAGAGCGACTCATCAGTAGAAATAATTGACGTGGAAGACTGTGATCTGGAAAAGAATGAAGAGGAGTCCTTGGAAGATTTGAGTGAAAGTCAACTAGTAGTCTCAGAGCAGAAACAATGTGTTAGTGCAGGCAGCCCTACTTCCCAGCCCATTGAAATTCCCTGCCACATCAAACGGGAAAAGGTTTTCTTGAGGGGGGTGTCGCCAGGCAGACATGAAGACATGACTCCGTCTAGTTCCTCTGAGAACTATATCCATGAGACCCCACTGGTAATGAGTCGCTGCAGCTCTGTGAGCTCTCTGGGTAGCTTTGAGTCGCCCTCCATTGCCAGTTCTATACAGAGTGACCCATGCAGTGAGATGATTAGTGGAACTATTAGCCCCAGTGATCTGCCAGACAGTCCTGGCCAGACCATGCCCCCGAGTCGCAGCAAGACTCCCTGCTACGCGGATGCAAGTGGGCAGGACGCCCAGGCTGGTGGAGGACAGTGGGAGAGTAACCTACGCAAGTTAATGGAGATTGCAGATTTCAAGGAGAGGTTCAACCTACCACCTGACTTGGATACCATGATCTACTTCACTGTAGAAAAGCCTACAGAGAACTTCTCCTGTGCTTCTAGTCTTAGTGCCCTACCTCTCCATGAGCATTATATTCAGAAAGATGTGGAGCTCAAGCTGATGCCCCTCCTTCATGAAAAGGACAACTCCCCCTTTAACACAGCCCATGGACAGAGAGAAGAAACTGGGGAAGAACATCCTCTTTTGGGAGCGGAGAATCAGGCGGATAGATACGGCGAGGGCAACTCTGATGATGACATAGAAATCCTTAAAGAATGCATCAACTCGGCAATGCCTTCCAAATTTAGGAAGGTCAGGACCTCACTGATGTCCAGTCTCTCCACCCAGGTTCTCAGCTCTCAAACTCGAAGGTCTATGCAGCTGCCTGTTTACATGCTGTTGCCTGCTCAAACCAATCAGATGGGCTCAATGAGGAAGACTGCAAGGCCAGATAAGGACTTCTATCAAGATGATTCTTCTTTTACTGATTCGGCTGAAGGGACCCCTGTGAACCTCTCGAGCACTACGTCCCTAAGTGATGAAACGCTTCAGTATCCAGTAAAGGAGGAAAAGGGCTTAAAAGACTGGCAGCTGAGAAGAATGGAGAAACAGGACATGATGGCTCTTGAAGCAAAGAGAATTGAAGATCTTCGTTCGTTCTCCCACTTCCATAAGCCCACAAAAATGGCTGGTCACGCTGAGATGGTGACTAACCAAATGAACAGGGTTATCAAGACAGTGTTGCCCACGCAAGGAGTGCAGATGCACAGCAGGGAGGCCAAAGCATCTCTTTCTCAGCTCAGAAGTAGAGACCAGTCACCTAGCCATATGATTCAAAGACAAGACCAGAGTCATCCAAGGAATTTGCCAAAGTTAGACTTGCCCATCAGGAAGCAGAGTGCAGGAATGCACCAAGGCCAGAACAACTATGGGGAGTATGTCCATGGTAACTTGGCATTCCAGTCTATGCGTCATACAACACCCACAGAGGAAGCTATTTATTGCTTTTATGATGATCAGATGGAGGCAAAGAGGGAGGGAGGGAGGAAAGCAAGCACTGGAAGAAAGCAAATCAAGGAGGCAAACAGAAACATTTTGACCCATGCAGCAGCCAGTGCAGACCGGACCATCAACCTACAATCAAAGCAAAAATGTATAACTAATAAGCTAAAGCACAATTTGATCATGGATGAGACACCTCCCTGTTACTCTCTCAGTTCCTCTCTTAGTTCTCTGAGTGATGCAGATTTAGAGGAACACCAGGGGAAAGCTCAGCAGGTGTGGGTGAAAAGTAAGCGTCACACAACATCAGGCCATAACCGCGATGCCTCAAAGAACTGTGGTCAAAATGATGAAGACAGCTCATCCAGTTCAGTCAGTCTGGACTCGGAGGACGACTTGCTGCAAAAGTGCATAACCTCTGCTATGCCAAAACAGAGGAGGAGGCATTCTGCCCGAAAAAGGAAATCAGAGAAGAAACAAAAACTGAAGAAAGCAGTGGAAGGCTGGAATCCAGCAAGGGACCAGGAGAGTGACAACATGGCATCAGACAAAGACTCAGACCTCAACAGCATTGAGTGGAGAGCCATTCAGGAAGGTGCCCACTCCATTGTTACAAGGCTGCAGGCTGCTTCGAAATCCAGGGAGCCTTCTTCTGAGTCTGAGTCTGTCCTTTCTTGCATGTCTGGTGTGTCCAGCTTCCACACAAACCAAGAGAAGAGTGACAAGAAGAAGAATGTCAAAGAACAAGGAAAGGGTAACAAAATGCCAGATGGCAGAAACCCCAGAACACAGCTAGATTTTGCCCAGCGTAAGCCTGTGCCAAACCTGCCTGTAGTATTCAGAGGTAGGACAGTGATCTACATGCCAAATCCTAAAAAGGAAACCAACAGTTCACAAAAACCTCCCTTGAAAAAAACATCTCCTAAGACTGAAACTCCCGTGAAGAATCCGAACCTGGCTCAGCAGAGATCAAGAAGCCTGCACAGACTGGGACGAGCTAATGATTCAACTGAGCTCTCCTTACCTAAAAGAAGTTCCACACCACCAGCCAGGATCCCCAAGAGCACATCTTCAGGGTCCTCCCAAAACTCCACACCATCAAGACAGCCCCAGAAGAAACTCACTTCCCCCTCGCAAAGCAGTAAACAGATCCCAAAGAAAGACGTGAAGCCCACGAACAGCCCCACTGACAAGAAAACAAGCCCGGCTGCATCTCCTTCTCCCAAATCTCCCGCTCACAAAAAAACCCAGAAGTCACCTGTTCGAATCCCGTTCATGCAGACTCCTTCAAGGCAACCAATGGCTTCCCGGACTATATCACCTTTAGTCACCAATCAGCCCTCACCAGGCATCAGCAGACAAAACACGCAACTGAAAAGGACCCTTCCTGCCAACCGTCTGGATTTGGTTCGCATGTCATCCACACGTTCGAGCAGCAGTGAGTCGGACCGGGCTGGCTTCCTGAGACAGCTGACTTTCATCAAAGAATCTCCCAGCCTCTTACGACAGAGAAGTGAAATTCCCTCCTCGAGGTCTGTACCTACCTCTAAGTGTGCATCCCCACGTAAAATGCGTCCAGGTGCCCCTGCTGCTTTTCTCTGTTCCTCGCGCTGCCAGGAATTGAAGGGTGTTGGACAGGGACCGAGAGAAACACAGGATGAAGGACAGGGGCAGGGAGCCCAACGTCAGAGGGCGGCTCTCTCCAGAGCCAGTTCTAGTGACCGAGGTCTTTCGGGCGTACGTCCAGCCAGGAGAACCAGCTCGGAGAGCCCCTGCAGAGCCCCTCAGAAGAACATCTCTGGAGCTTGGCAACGGGAGAGAGATACCTTCAAACGACACTCTTCCTCCCCTCACATTAACATACTGAAGAGAGCCACCAGCCGTTCCTCCATTTTGTCCTCTTCTTCCGAGTCCAGTGGGAAAGTAAAAAGCGAAGAGGACAGAAAGACACAGAAACAGCAGGAACCTCGAGGGAGGGGCAAAATCACCTGGAGAAGGATTCGGGATGAAGACGTGCCCCACATCTTAAAAAGCACCCTCCCCTCCACAGCACTGCCCCTCGTGCCATCCCCCGAGGGGCAAAAGCCGATGCCTCCACTGCCCGGAAAGCTCCCCACCATCACTCTGCCTCCTAGGAAAACCAGTGATGCCACTGTCCAGACAGAGGACTTCGCCACAAACAAGACCAACTCCAGCACGTCTCCCACAATAGAAAGAGCTGGCGAGATAAGTGAGGAGGCAGCCCTCTTCAGAAAGATCAGCACTGCCTCAAGCTCCAGTGCGTCTGTTCAAGAGGGGGACGCAAATGAATTGCCAAGTTCCTTTAAGAGCCAGACCACGCCATGTGCTTCCCATGCCATCGAAGGGCACAATGGTGGCATCGGTCACTTCCGCCAGAGCTCGCCCAGCAAGGCTGTGAGAGTAACCCCCTTCAACTACATCCCCAGTCCCATGGCGTGCGGCTCGCAGAGCACGCAGATCCGAGCACCAACGCTGAACGAAAAGCCCGGGGAAAGACTTGAAGCTTAAGTCACAAATATTCTTTTCCTTGAACTAAGATCTCTAGGCACCAACTGTGCTCCTGAAACATTGCACTCAGGTGGATTTCTGATATATCAACCCTTTTACCTCTGGAAGTTTGCATTTATAACAAGACTCACTTGCATCAGGAATCATGTGTCTTTTAAGGGTGCAAATGGGTATCCTGAAAATATACACAATGTGTGCCTATAGACAAAGTGGTGCAAAAGATTGAAGTGGAAGATCCCACTGACTGTTATGTGACAAGCTAGTTCTAGGCACACATTTATGTACAACATTACTGGAGGTTGAAGAGAAGGGGGAACTTTTTAGAGATCTTCTGAACATAGAATCTATAACTGATTACTGTCTGAGATTCACCTTTTTGTACTTTTTGTATTTGTACATATAACTTTGCCTGTTAGAAGTGTTAGATTAAATGTGTAAACTGAAAAAAAAGGTCTGCAGATTTTGGGATAGAAAAGGTTAAGCAGTTAACCTCTGTCTGTTTTGCAGACAATGAATCAAGATTCAAAGACCAATACAATATGCAACTACTCCAAATGTGAGACTAGGTGCTCGTCTCATATACTGTATACATAATTATATATCTGAAAGGACTTGTCTCCTCTCATGGGTCAAAAGAAAAAAACACTTTAGCTCTGGCTGTTATAACTCAATGTAAGAATTATGGATCAAATATCTTCACGTACAGCATTTCTTACTACATGTCAAATGTTTCTCTTTTACAAGACATTTCAGACTGAGACTATTATACTCTTTTCATCTTTCACTTTTGAAATCAAATCAAATCCAAGACTTACAGTACACTACAAAATACCCTGAAAACAATCTGTGCTTGCTGGAATTCTGAGGAACCCCGTATTTCTTCAGCAGTATTAATTCCTACCCTGCAATGGAGAAGTCCCTGCTACCTTCCCAGTGAGCAAACAGCCTCAACTGCCAACCTAGACTGCATGCTGAATATTCACCACCTGTAAACACCAGTTCAATTATGTCGATGTTGTCCAGCAGCACTCTTAAAGAGGAACAAATACTGTATACAGCTCTGTTACATCGGTGTCAAAGGAACTTATTTAAATACAAAGGTATTTTTCTTTCAGCAATCTGTTAGTGAGCCAGGCTTTATGACTGTAATTAATCCAGCTGAATAGCGGTTATGAATTCTGCTTATTCGTCTGCTCTGTTTCATTAGTGTTTGCCTCTAGAATCAGGTAAAGCTCAGCTAATATCAAGAAAGCAAAAATATTGTGGCTAGGTGCAAGCAATTTGCAAGATGGGAGATACTGCTAACATTGTGTGCTAACAGGACACTGGCAATTGTATTTACTTCTGCTTTGATATAGAACAGGATACTGTATTAAGGTATTCAATTTGCAGATTTGTGTCTAAAATGCATTTTTCTGTAGAAAAACAAATGTCCATTGGAAAAGTGGTTCTTTCTTGTATTTCACAGCTAACACATTTTAAATCTCAGGGCTATTAGGAGATATAGGCCATAGGAGTCTTACAAGGACAAATCTGAATATCATTCAGTGATATGTTATTTTATACTGTCATTCGGGCTTTTCAGTTACTCTCTGTACATTACCTTTGTTATAAATCACCACAAATTGTGCTAGAAAAAATATCCAGCACTCACATTAATGCCTTGAGAAAATCTGATAATCCATCAACATTTATGTAGGGTAAATGTTTTATTAAAGTACAGATCCATCCAGTACAGGGTTGCTGGGTAAAGTAGAGATGTGGCAAACAATTTCGTAGTTACTATGGACTTTTCTTTGCGATTTGACTTCACTCAGAAATGTTTTTCATAAAAGATGTTGCACAAAAGCAACAGTGTCTGATAATCATTCATCTGAGGAGACTCTAATGAAAATCCTGAGGATGACCTGTGAAAGCTCACTCTTAAAGCAAATCATTACACATTCCTAGAACAAATTAAGTTCAGCAAATCAACTAAGAACCACTGTTCCAATGTTTCTTCTACAAGTTACCTTGCAATTGAATACGAAACAAACAATATCCCACTTCTCTTGTGAAAGAGTGTTTTTCTGTCATACAATCTATACTCCTGTGCTTGGGTTAATATATGAATTGCAGTGAAATGTATCAATATGGAAGCCAACAAATACTATTTAGAGAACAAATTTAACCTCATTTGCACTTTTTGTGAACCTGCATTCACACTGATTGACATGTCAGTACCGGCAAAAGAAACATCTGTTGATGTACCTGGTGAGGGTACCCTGAACTGTCACATGGTTTGAACCTGAAAGCTGTTGATAGGTTGTAGATGATAGGTTCATAAACGTGATATGATCAAGGCTAACTAGTCTAGGCCTGCTCAGCTGTTGAGGCTGTGGTTTAAAAAAATCACAGTAAGGCTTGTGAACAACATAGATCCAAGACAAATGGCTAATGTATTGTGTCTGAAGAGAAAGAATCCACAAAAATAAATGTTTTCATCCAACCAACTGGTGGTGTTTCATTCACAGCACATGAGAGACTGATGCAGGAATGCCCCTTCTTACTCTTTATCCAATACAGGGTCATGGGGGAGCTGGAGCCTATCCCAGCAAGCAACGGGCACAAGGCAGGGTACACGCTGGTCCATCGCAGGACGATGGACACACTCACACCAGAAACTTTTTTTCTGGAAGCCCGTTAGCCCTCCAGTATGTCTTTGGACAGTTGGAGATAACCTGGAGGAAACCCACGGAAACACAGGGAGAACACAAACTCCACACAACAAACAGGACACTGTTCTGCACCACTCAATGTGAAACTGATCTAGAGTAAGTCCTGAGTAAGTTTACACGGAGAATGGATGCTAGAGCAGAGATGATACAAAGAACTGTGCAGACATGAAGCCCGGTAAATTATGGATGACAACATAAATCATCCTTAACAAGGAAATGTGGAGATGTCAACCACACAAAAAGCAAATGCCGTAACGCCAATTTTTTTTTTATTGAAATAAGGGATTTACACCAGTCTTGACATCATTAAACATCATTAACCTTTTAGCTTATCTACTTATTGTGTTACAAAATGAGAATTTTTAAATTATTTTAACAACTACTAAACGAGAATCCTGAAATCTTTCCATGTACAACACTTGGCTTCTTTGTGCCATTTCCCCCACAGGAAGTAATTTCTGAGTGGCAACATGCGCGCACGACCAGGGTACAACAGATGAATGACTGCTTATACTATGAATACTATAACTGAAGGGGCTGCGCTGATTACAAATGAAAAAACAGACACTTATTTACAGACCACTGTTACACCCCAACATTCCTTTTCCATTCTCGTTGAATGGTGTTTTTTTGAAGGATTTCCTCTCACAATAAAGGAGCTACAGAGTCCTTCCAGCCCAGCGGGGCATCTTCTTGCTTCTGTGTTTCTGCTGCCAGTCGCACTGCACCAGAGGCGGGTGCCGCTGCGTTATTGCTCATACAGGAGTTGACTGCAGGGCAGGGTCCTGGAGGGTGCCTAAGGGTGCCCGGGGGCCCGTCTCACAGCGCTCTCCCCCTGACCTCGGCCACAGTCTGCTCCAGCCTCTCTCCGGCCAGGTGGAGCTCCCCCCTCCGGGCGGCCAGCTGCGCCTGGGCCTCCTGCAGCTGCTCGACCCACTCCAGGTACCTCCGGCTCTGCAGGTATCGGCTCTCCACCTCTCCCTCCGCCGCTGTCCCACGATCTTTCACAACAGCAAAGACGCTGGATTGAGAACCGCGGCCCCCCAACAGGCAAACCACACCACCCACCTGCGCACTCAGGCCACAGAGCAGCGGAGGGGTACAGGTGCTTTCAAGCTTTTAGAACTCATGGGGACTGACCAGAACGGGCTCAGGGCTGGCACCACGCATTTCCCAAGCGATATGCAAGTTAGTCCATTGTTGGGCAATGACCTGTTCACGTAACAGGCCTCATACTTCGTGATTTTCATGACAACGTCACGACCCGCCCCTCCCCCCAAAAAAGCATACCTGAGAGTTTGGAACCTGCACACCAGGGTCACACAAACGCTGCACGTAGAGGTTAATGAACAGCTGTACCACCCATTTTAATTCTGTAAATTTAGTTACAAGTGACGTGGCACAGAACCCAGAAAAGGATTTTCAGCGCACGGCTGAGAGGTACCTTGTGAGCAGTCCTGAAACATGGTAAAGACCGGGTCGCTAGGAGAGGCCCTGCCAACGTCCTCCAGGATCTGGTCGACGGTGGGCGGATCAGGGCGCGTTGGCAAAATGACTCGCTTCTTACTCTTAGAGCCCATTGCTCAGACCCTGGCAAAGGAGAGAAGCAGCAGAGTTGTAGAGCAGGACTGAAGATCACTTTTGCATTGACTCGCTTTCTGTACACATGGGATACATGTTTTTCATCAATACAAGCAGCTACCTATGCTTTATTTTAAAATTATCAAACAAAAATAGTTTAAAAAGTACATTTTGCAGAACGACGTTAAATAATACACTGATAAAGATAAAGCTGTTCGCTGCATTTTATCGAACTGTACATCCGCCTACATCTGTAATCCTAAAAAAAAGGACATTCAAGCTAGGAAAATAACTGTAATTACCATGCAATAAGTACAATGCTTTCTTATAACGCCGTCTCCTCTTCCAGCATATCCCGGCGAAAAGGACGAAAGCCACATCAGTCAGCTTTAGGATCATGTGGCGACTTCCTCGTCACGTGACAAAACACAGGAAGCCAGGCACCTATCACGTGATCAGGGTGACGGAGGGGAAAGTTGCGCAAGCGCACATCTTACAGGCTACAATTATTGTACACATGCTTTTCGTATGGATGGTTTAATATGCTCTAAAAGTAGTGTTTGATTGCTTAAATAACTATGAGTATTTTCAAAACTGGTTTAGGTAATAAAAATGATAATACACTTGCACAAATGACCATCCCATGTGGGCCATTGTCATTCCATGATCCAATTCAATTCAAAATACTTTATTCATTCCCTGGGGGCAATTTAAGACTGTGCAGACTCCGGGCGTGTAGTCTTGGCATCCATTGGCATGTGGGTGTCTTTGCAGGAACAACAGATTAGGATAAGGTATACCCACTAAGGAACTATAACCATCCATCCATCTTCTAACCTCTTCATCCAGTTCAGGTAATGGAGGACCCAGAGCTTGTCCCAGGAAGCACCTGGAGCAAGGCAGGGTCACTGCAGGGCAAAGACACAAACACAGGCACCAGGCTAATTTCCCCAGAAGCCAACTATCCTACCAGCATGTTTCCATACTGTGGGAGGAAACTGGAGCACCTGGAGGAAACCCAGGCAAACCTGGGGAGAACATGCAAACTCCACACAGACAGCACCCCAGGTCCAGAAATGAACCAAGGGCTCAGCACGGTCTCACCAGTTTTAATAACCAATAGGTGAAAACCTTCCCAGTTGAAAAAGCTTCCATATCACCCTTGCATCCCTTGAAACCTTTATAGACTTTACAAGCAGCATTTTATTAGGTATTAACTGCCAACTGTAACGATGCAAATGATGGATGTACATGCTAGTGACAAGACCAAACAAATTCAGTTGTTCACAGGTTTATTGATAGAAATTTTAAAAAAGACAAAATTCACATGTACAAAGAAGAAATTACCTCCTCCCCCCCCCGATAATAAGTACATAAGTGAAGCTCTGATTGAAAATGCCTTCGAGTATGATAAAAAAAATCAATCATTTAAAATACTATTGTGATTTATGACTGACAGTTGTTGTGGCTGTTTTGACAATAGTCCTCAACTAGAGAAGCGAAGCTGAAATATGAACAGACACACAGCTATCGTGAACTTCAGAAAGAGCTCACGTATCTCACTCAGCTGCCATCACGGTCACGGAGGGAGAAAGAAACCCAGTCCTGGACATAAGATGGGAATGAAAATTCAACAAAACTCAACACAAAAGTATCCTGCTCCATAATTTTCCACCCATTGTATTCAACCTTGATACACATTGAACAAGTGTGGTTCTTCAATCAAACTTAAGTGAAGTGATTCATTGCAGAATGTCCCCCCACCTCCTACTTAGTCGATAGCAAGACTGAACCTGAGCCTTTCCAGATTTCAGTCACTTCAATTCTAATTGTTCCTAGCAACCATGAGCTCATCCTCACCACAGCAGTCAGCCCTGATTTTACGTGCGATTTTATCCTCTAATCCGCAGGAGAGCCGATACAGCACCAGTCAGCATTTGTGTTCCTTGCAGAGGACTTGTGTGTGGTTTGATACGATATTACAAGAAACAAACAAGAACAAAAAGGAATGGCAGGTGTAAGGCTCTGTCCAAAACAATGGAAAATGCATGAAAAAAACTCAACTTAAAAATTGCTTGGGTATTGCAAGCAGGAGGCGTCGGTCTTGACTGGAAGCACAACTATTTTATTCTAAAAGCCAGCACAAAAGTGAATATCTCCATACATGTACAGTATCAGCCCTGGTGAGCTTCATGCAGTGGTACACAGTGCTTTAAAGCACGGTGCCAATGGAGGGTTTGTCTTCTTTCAGATGGCACTCATACTCGTGGGTCAGCCGGCCTTTCTTGTTCAGATGGCATTTTCCTTCTACCACAGGGGGGGTAACATGGGAGCAGATCAGTCGGTTAAGAGGAGCTGGAGTCTCCTGGTTCAAGCAGTGGGAGCGGACGTGTACCTCTTCACCAAATCACTGGGACTTCTCATGGTTGAGCACATGATCAACGGCTAGCTTGGAGGCTGGAAGAAGACCAGAATAATAGATACTTAAAAGCAGGGCAATCTAATGAGCAGAAACTAGGACTCAACTAACAAGCCTATGAATCAGCTGTTGCCACTAGTGGAGCTGCTTTCTGAGCAGCACATAACTACAGCAGGGAAGGAAAATATTCTGCTCGCAGAAAAGCACAGATGTAACTACTAATCCCATCTGGGACCTGGGACCAGTGCAGCACTGCTGTGAGGATCTATATTAGCACAACATGTGAAGCAGTGCTGTCTCTTTTATCAGCAGATAGCTTAACTCTTTCAAACTTTATTTGTGAGACACACTGGCTTCCCATCTACCCAGTTCCTCCTTCACTTTACTCTGTAATGATCCGATGAGCTAGTCAGATATAATGCTACTTATAATGCTCTATTTAGTATTAAAATTAAAAGTTGTTCCACTCTACCCTGTGATCAAATGCATCTTTTATACCAACAATTTTAACTGGACATGTTTAATTTTTTAAGGTAATTTAAATCAACTTTAAATCAGTCAGGTTAGATTGAGATCTTGGGTTGCAATGAAAATCCTGGAGAGTTACCTAAATTAAACTCCCCTTTTGTATTTCCTCTTTGAGTTAATGAGTTTAAGAGAGTTCCACATCTTAACCACGTAAGCAAAAAATGGTTAGTTAAAATGGTACATTACACGGTACACATTATTTATACAGAATATCATATTACCTATATTATTCATAAATGCATTTATAAAAACAGGGCTAGAAAGAAAATCTACACAACTCTGAATTAGGCATCCTTGACCACTAAGGTGGTTATTCCAGGTAAGCAGTGATGGCTTGCAGCCTAACCTGAAAGCAAAGGACACAAGGCAGGGCTACACCCTGGATGGGACACCAGTCCATCAAAACACATTCAACACAGGACAATTTAGAGACACCGCTTAACCCAGCCAGCATGCCTTTGTAAAGGAGAACCCGCAGCACCTGGAGAAGACATGCAAACGTGGAATAACATGCAGACTCCACAAAGAAGCACCCCAGTCAGGTATCAAACCCAGGACCTAAGAGCTGGGAGGCATCAGCACTAACTGTCCTGCCACCCAAGGGAATGAAGCTTTATTTAAATTGTATAAGCAAATTCCAAGATGCTGAGCCCCTCGCCAATAAAGACACTGTACCACATGGTCTTTAGTCACAACGAAAGGAGAACTCCTGCCCCACACTGACTGCTGCACTCCTGTTTCTCTGGCACCAGAAATCAGCAGTGCAAACAGAAATCTACAATAAATCTTTTAATTTGAGGCCAAGGCAGTGGTAGGGTCATTTCTTCTTGTTCTAGGAAAGGTCACCAATAAAGCTTTTATTACTGTGGTGAATTCATGTGGCTGCTTGTTCAGACATCTTTCAGAATGAAGGAATCAGAAAATGCTGATAAATGAGCTTGGTCTCCATCTAAAAACATGTTGAAATAAAATGTCTTTGAGTTTTACAATTGCACAAAGCAATGCAATGCAGCATTACAATTTATACAAGACAATGATGTCTAAAACCCTTTGTAATGGGATCTGTGACGGAGTTAACTTGGTGCCAACATTATGAGGGCATTATATATATACAGAAAAAAACACAAACAGTGAAATCGTGGGAGTCCAAAGGTAACCCGATGCCATAAAATTTCCACTTAATTCTTGGTGACCTGAGAGTACAAAAACAAGAGAAGGATGCAAACTTTGTCAAACTTACCTGCTCAGTCTACAGACAGATCAGGCTACATGGGTACAGACATGCAAGGCAGAGAGATGCGACAATGGAAAATATGCTAAAAAAATCAGTCACTTCACTTGAATGGGTTTTAGATACATCAGACATCTCGGCTGATTTCAGAGCCAGTGTTTTCGTGTACTTTTCTCATCCTGAATCTGGGCTTCAGGTGAGAAGACACACGCACAACACAACTTACACCTGGCCCGTGACTTCAGTCGTGATATGAATGCCCCTCCTCTCAAAACAGTTTGATAGAACAGCTTGGGAGAACAGTCAGTGTTGCAAACTGGTTTGTGCTGAAAGCCCTCCCAGATGTGTGTTCTTATATTTCTAAACACTGCTTGAAAAGCAAGTTTCAAATTTGAAAAGTACACAAAAAGAAACTGAAACCAATACAGCACTAATAGTCCTTAAATATCTTTGAAGGTGTGTCTGTAAGTCCTTTTAGCTTCCAAATGAGATGTGCTTCAATGTTCAAGCCAGGCTCTTAATCTATACAGCAATCAAACGGTTTTATCCAAATGTCCAGACTCATCAGCTATAAATAAGTCAGTTCTCTGTCTTTTCTGCTTTTATTGTTCATCAATTTACAGCAAAAGTATGAAAAATAGAGAACGCTCACTATAAATTGAAAAAATAGTTTCTCCATAGCTGTGAATGGAAGGGCTTAAAAACTGCACATATACAACAAACCTGAAATCAAACAGATTCATGGCAATGGAATCTAGAAAGAAAAAGTGCTTGTGTAGCAGTGCAGGTCAATATCCGAGCTCCACACAGTCCCACTGTGATGCTTCAAAGGTGAAAAGATTGACTTACACTAAGTCTTTAAGACCAAAGGGACCCTCATTTGTGGGAAAAAAAAGTATTTTATGGTTTGATCTTTTAGCAATAAGGTTGAACAGGGAAGGGCATTGCAAGTGTGTGCAAGGACTCTTTTCAGCTGCAGGGGTCTGCAGATGAGGAAAAGAATGAATACCTGAAGGACCAGAGCTGCCTGAAGGACACGGACCACACTGCTCAGTGGCTTTCTAACTGACCTGCACTGGGTGGGTCTTAAACAACTGAACACCAGCACTGCTCGATATTGTCCATAGGAACAAGTCCTGCAACTAATCGGATAGTTCAAGAAAAGTACATCAAACCTTGTCCTGCATTGAATTCTGATAAAGTCTGGCAATTAGTTTAGTTTTTTTTTTTCTGTAAAAAACCTGCTGTTAAAGATGGGCAACACCTGTAATCTGTGGATGAATCAGGGAAGGAATCTGTTCCTCTAAGAAAACTGGTCCTTGAGAGATCAAGAGTGCAGAGATTTCAGCCCTTGATTCTCTCTGAAGTAATTTAACAAGCCACCTGTTGAATTGATCAATGTGGCATTGCTCCTCAGCTCCTGTCATGTCCAATTAATGTCCCTAACGAGACAGAAACTGGGCCAAACTAATCCCTATTCCTGCTTAGGTTTCCAAACACATGAATTGTTTTAATCTGCTAACATCTCCAGCTAACAGCACAAAGTAATTTGATATTCAAGCCCCAGGAGAACAATTAAAAAAAGTTCAGAGAAAAATCTCACCAGCAGCAGCAGAAAATACCCCCCACAACAAGCCTGTGCATCTTTGCTTTCAAGCAGAACTAGAAGTAAAGGCTTTTCCTTCCAATCAGTGGCATTATTGTAATAGTTTCTACAAAGAGAGAATATTGATGTAATGACCTTGACACAGATGTCTTGTAGAGCTCAGGCTATTTTAATTCCCTAATTCTTAATGACATGAGAGTGGCAGCTCTGCTTCACTTCCTGATCTCTGGGGTTTACCCATATTCCAGATTTTCTTTATCTGATGGCTTGAGTGCATGACAATGCCTATGCTATGCCACTGCACAGACCAAAAGCTGGCAGCAGGTGGCGCTCCTAATTTTACATTATCCACTGCCAGACACCTTCTTGAGCCAGAAGAGAAATTATCAGGATTGAGCCATTTATAAACAGTCTTACCCACAGACATTGAGAAACTCTGGGAGCTTAAGCAGTTAAGTTGGGTTGTCATAGGAAGTTAACCTTAGTAGCTTTGCGACAATCCTTCCAAAAATCATTATTTCTAAAGCTGCACGATACAGATGTCACCTTTTCTAGAAAAATAAATATCTTAACTAGAGCTTGCTTTAAAGAATGGACATTCAATGAAATGAATGGGCAGAGGTATCAGTAACATTTAAAATTGAATATTGACCACACTGAATGAATTGCCTACTTTGTAGGTACGATGCACCATGCGTTCCAGTGGGAGGAGTATGAGAAACAGCCAAGACGGGGCTCTGTTTCTGGGAAGCAGCTCGGAGGTGAAAAGCACTATGCGAGGCGTCGTTTGAAGGTATTTGCTCTGCCACACACCTGTGTGGCCCTGTGCAGTGTCACGTCTGTCAGCCGCGCTCCCACCAGAGAGAGGTGAGAGCGCAGAGCTTCTCAAGAGCGGTGTGTGAAGCAGGCAGGGCCGGGGAGAGGGTGGAGGGCCGACGACAATGAATTTAAACACCTGATGAGCATGAAGATTCATAACAAGTATGCTGAGCTGATCGCAAGCATTATTAGTTATTATTAGGTAAAGTAACAGAAAAAACTATCCATACCCAGGCAGGAATAATGTTTGGGTTGAGCTATGCTGTTAAAATGAACATTCAAAGCATTTTGATGTTATGCAAAATAATTTCTCCCATTTTTTCACCTCCGAATAAAACTCATTCAGAAAATTTCAAGAAAAAAATACTTTTGGGCCCTTCTTCCACACTGGAACACTCTTTCACTTGTCAGGAATCTTCACATGCTTAGGACCTCCTAATAAGTGCGGAGCAAATTCTGTTCTTAAGCAAAAATCCATCTGTTCCAGACACCGTTTCCACCTGTGACAGCTCTGTCACATAAGTGCCTGGACTTTCCAACTCTGCAGGAACCCCCAGCAGAAAACACAATCACATGATCTTCTATGAGGAGATTATACACTATTAGGAGGCTTATCTTTTCAGAAAGTCCCCCTCTTCATGTTGGCATTTTCAGGACAACGCAGTTCTTCCATCAGCAGACGATAATGGAGGAACTGGATTTGACTGTTTCAGTTTTGCTTGGTACTCGTCATCCCATGCAGTTCAGTGTCAATAACTGCAGCTACCTTTAGGATTTTGTCACTCTACACCTGTGGGTCTCTGGAGTCGGAATGGCGTGGGAGTTAGTCATGCAGTGTGTGCTCTGGCAACAAGGTGCTTTAAAGCTCAAGCCGGCCTCTAGGCAGAAGCTGCAGTCACATGGGGAGGAGGGAGTCAAGGAGCAGTTAGTTACATACAGACGTGCTGGGCAGCTCTTTAGGGCCTGCCTCCGGGGGCAGAAGGGTCTTGCTTTGTACCAGTGTGTGCAGGACTGCAGCCGGAAGAAAAACGGAAGAAGAAAAGAGAGCTGGTAAGTATTTAAGCAAACATGCGGTCACACATTAAGGCCTAGATTAACAAAAACATTGGAGCAGCCTGCTGGGCACAAATTGTAATTGCACTACAGTGCTTAATGGCAGGGCTTGTCTTCGCAAGGCAAGGGGTCTCTGGGAAATAATAAATTACAATTTTGCACTGATCTCATTAGGGGGCAGGTTGAAGGTTTGATTTCAGCCAGTACTAAAGTGCAAAGCAGGCTGCTCTAGAATTTACTCTTCAGATGAAAGCCGTGAGACATTTGAAATTGAAGGGAACTCAGTAAAAACATTCATTACAAGTTGCTGCAATCTGCATTCATCTAAATTTTTTCAGTCACCAGACAATCACCAAAACATGGTCTATTAGCAACCAAAATGAGATAACTTCACTCCGTTTTATCTAGAAGTGTTGGAGATTGGATTCCATGAGATGACATGGCAGTATGGGCTAAGATACAGGCAATAATATTTCAATCTCCCTCATCACAGCGACTCTTTATACTTACAGGACAAGGAAAAATCAGTAGAGAGTACAGAGAAGACAGACAATTAAAATCGTCATTATCATTACTGGGTATTAAAGCAAAATAGGCTTTCTCTCACAAAAGCAATTATCCAGCAATTATTGCAACCTCTGATGTTTTAATTGCATGGTCTAAAAGCATGTTAAAGTAGATTATTCAGGCAGGCACAATACAATAAGCATACAGCTCTAGTCTGCAATGCTCCATCTTGCTGCGCTCTCTGGAGATTTCAAGTGCTAGCTTTAGAAGTACCACTTCAGGAACAACTAAGCAACATGCTTTGCTGAAGATTTTAAGGGAGGGATAAAATAAATTATTAACATCAGATAACAAAAGAAAATGGGATATCAGCAATTTTATTTCAGGTCTTTTAGCAGCTTTTTACATGGAAGCTGAACATAGAAAAGACATAGGAGTTTAGCGTCTGCTTAGTTCTGTAACTTTAGCTTTCCATTTCAGGTCCAGATTTTCCATCAGACATCTGACAGTGCAAATGTTTACTCCAAGATTCAGTTCTTGGCACGAATGTAATTTGGTTTTACAAAGCAAAGCCATTTGCAGGCATTAAAATGGTGGAGTCCCCAGTGTGCCTTCAAATGAGGGTTAAATACGCAATTAGTGCATATTGGAGAAAAGTCCCAACAATACTCTGTGACTGGTTATAAAGAGAATCATTTAATTAAAAAAATACCATGTTTCCATTAATATTTGAGAGTTGGCAAATACTTCGGCTCACTGGTGTGTGGCGTATTTTTTAATTGAAGTCAAGAAGGGGGAAACAGAAAGGCTTGTTTTTCACGAGCTGCAGACATTTCAGAGCATAATTAGAGGCTGTGTTTACATTGTGTACACTCACCTCCAAACAAATGAAGAAAAGGACTAGAAGCTTCCAGCTTTTTAAAACAAAGGAAGAATTCTGAACCAAACTGGCTGGAAATAAAGAGTAAATACTGCGAGAGCAAAATACTGAAAGAAGCACCAATACATCTTATTTTCTTGTAAATGTTACTGATCGATGTAGAGAAGCACAGTACCACACAATTGTGCTCATTTAAGGCTTATGTAAACACCAACTGTAAATAATTTGATTTATATAGGACATCAATGAAAATCCAGTTGACACATTGCAAGGTGAGCTGTTCTTTAGGAAAGCAGCTTTAGTCTTAATTTTCAAGGGCAGTGAAAGAGAGCAGTCGGGCCTAGTTCATTAAACTTTAAAACCACTTTACATTTGCGCGTTTGCTTCTTACGAGAGACTAATCCATAATTTAACAGACAGCAGATGAAACTGCTTTCATTTTGAAACCATACTGCTTTTTCAACTTTTCAAGATTGTGGTAAACTGGGCTTGGCAGAAAACAGCTAATTGTTTATGCTAATCCTGAACCACACCTGTAACACGAAACCATAAAGCACTCTGGGGTATAGAGAGAAAACAGCAATCCCACTTAGGTTTTAAATATAAGATCCCAAACTCTCTTCTGCACCATTTTTCCCACACAGGAGAACATAGTTACAATTCCGAGGGCATTTTGTGACAAATCAGATTCTAAAAAAATTAAGGAAAGCAACAGGCCCAGTTAAGCCCAGCAAGAGCATTTACCCCTAACTTCTCCTTTTCATAGTTCTGTGTACCAACCACATTTGTGCCTGGCTAGTCCTTAATATCACAGCCGAAGAGGATAGCTTTATATACTATAGAAAAGACCTTTCTTGTGTTGGACTACAGACAAACATGTCTTCCTCACTCTTCATTCTGGAGGATTTTCGTTCTCATATACTTTGAATGTGTTTAAACCAAAGATCCATTTGAGATGGCCGTTTTAAACCTGCAAAGAAATACTGTACCCCAGAGCTCTGCTCAGCATCTAACCAATAATAAGTGGATGGAATGAAAATGTAAAAAAGGTCACAAGGTCAGAGACGGTTTTATTGCATAGCTCGTGGGAATTTTTAGCAGATGACTGTTTGATAGAAGCTCTTGGGGTCCAGGGAACTGGCTTCAACCACATGGCAACAATGATGGATCTAGTCACCTACTGTTCTCTGTGTAAAGGGGCCCTTTATATTTTCTATCATAAAAGTAGCCCCTCCCCACCTCCATTTGTGACCCTGGCTTTAAGTCAGTTCCCTCTTTCTACAAAACACAATCGCTGACAGTGACACATCTTGCAGGTGCCCAAGACTGGATCACTGCAAGACGCTGCCAGTGTCGCAGCTCGGCCACTGAATTACCACACAAGTGCTACACAGGAACCCAAGTTACAAAGGATGGATGACTGAATGGCCTCTTATCTCGTTTTGTAATTAGTAGCTCATTGATCCAAGGATCTCATCAAGCTTTTTCTTGAATGAAACCAGGGTACCGGCTGCAACAGGATTGTGGAGGAGCTTGTTCCACACTCCTACCAGCCTCAGTGTACAAAAACGCTCCCTGTCCCGACGGGAGGATCTCATCCAGCCACTGACCTCACCAATACGGTTGGCTGGCTTGGGCCACGCCCCCGCACGTCACTGGGGAGAGAAGCGCGCTCTCGGTTCGAGATGCACCATGTTGCTCAGGGAGCCAGCGGACACGCGGGGCCCCCCGGCCGTACCTTCGCGGGTGACGTTCTCCGCCGCGTTGATGGCCTTCCCACTCAGGTCGTTGACCACACTGTCCACGGAGGCCTGGTGCTTGAGGAAGAATGGGCGGACGAGACGCGTGTACAAGATCTGCGACCCGTTCCAGCTCACTGGGGCCATGCACCACAGCAGGAAGATGCACTGAGAGGAGAGAGAGGAGAGGAGGGGGTTACAGCCGCAGAGAGAGACTGGGAAGCAGGATCAAGGGGAAAAGGCAGAAACTGGAAGGGTATGAGCCAAGGAGTGAACACTGGGAAATGGGATAATGAAAAAGCAGCAGGAACCGGTACAAGGAGAAGAAAATACACTTGCAGAGCACATGATTAAGACCACGGAACAAAGAAGTGTAGAGCAGACAATCTTACAGAGACAGCGTATAATCAAAAAAATAAGGTGCTTCTTTCCTTGAGCCAAAAGGTAAACAACAGGACTGAGCCACTACCTGACCCATAAAACATTATCTAATAATTCATCCTTAAAATGTTTCATGCCAACAGGAATCATTTAAACAAAATCAGACTCACACTGAACATGCTAATTGCAGATTGGATACATCATTGCACATCGCCTGGAGAACCATACATGAATAAAGAGGCATATTTTGCATTGTATGTGTGGCAGATGCCACAATCGATGTCAACAATGATCAGTGACTGCTCATATTTATGGGGTTTATTTGTATCAGTGCAGCTCGAAAAAGAAATGTTCCTTTAGCAGGAGCCAATTCCAACAAAAATATTTAATGACAATCTGAGTCTCAAAACAAAAACAAGGCCTTTTCGAGAACCTAACCATTCTCATCTAGCAATCCACCCACTACATTAGGCTCATTTCCACTTAAAGTCACACCCACCCAACATTTAACAGGAGAATGCCAAAATAACACTGAGAAAGAGATTTATTGGGAACGTAGCGATTAAACCATTGTTACTTTGAGTTCTGAAAGCTTGGTATTTCTATAGGTGGAATGTTTTTTTTTTTTTAAACTAGAGCAGCCCAGACAACAGCTGTCATTAACGGTTGTGTGCACACGGAGGTCTTGGGTTTGCTCCTGTTCAGCACCTGTCACCAGCTCCGTTTCTGAGAAACAGTGCAACACCGAGTGGAATTTCCTTAGAACAGTTCTCATGTAAAACACAGTGCCTCCACAAGCAGTCTGTATAATTGCCTATTATTTTATTCACAGCTATTTATCAAGGATATCCCAGAGGGATGTTTCACAGATTTATTTTATTTAGTTTTACTTTAGTTTTGCCAACTCTCATGTCCACCCACATCTTCCCAACTCAATAGTTGTACAGAACAGTAAGCCATAAACAGGCCAGCCTAACAAGATGGCTTCTAAACACAGTACAGTACATACTGACTTGGTAATATGGAGGAGCTTACATACTACACAAATCAGTAGCCAAAGACTCCATTAAACTGTCTGTAAGGAAGCACAGCACGCAGTCTGGTCAGGTTCATTTTCATAATCCCCCTGCTATACTGCTGCTGGTACCAGTCCCTGATCTATTCTGCCTTAATTTATGGCCATGTGGCAGAACCAGATGAAAGCTTAAGAGGTGAGAGGTGAGGACTAGAGTGAGGAAGAGTGAAAGAAAAATGAAACAACACATGCAGGAGGCCATATGGTTAAAATACAAGGTTCATCACCAGGTGGGTCCTGGTTCAGGAACTGGCTCTTCTGCTGCCTCACTGCACTGTGGATGGAGAACCATGTGTTTGCACTCCCAATTGAATTTTGTGAATGGGAATAATTGTGAAAATTTGTCCTTAGAAACTTAATTCCTCGTGTAATGGCGTGCTCATACAACACATTCTGTGAAGAGAGTTTTAGTCTTCAGTTTCTCCTGTGCTACTGTGTCCTCCCCCATGAGTGTGTGTCATGAGCTGTGACTGCAGGGTATGGATCGGCAGTTCATTACCGCAGAAATACCCGTGTTATCACTGGTAAACACTGCAGAAATGGTGTCAGGATATTTATTGTATTTTTAATGAAAATGAATACCGTGAATTATTTTTCTCTGTAAATGCCCCTATAAGGCTCTGCTTCACACCCAAAGAAGGCTATACAGTCGAAACGTCTTCTCTTTTCAGCATGGAATTTATTTGTTCCTTTGCAGCCTACGCATGCTGATACAGCTCCCCACTTGAACTATACTTAATGCAGTACTACTCTACTATAATAAAGTTTAGTAACAGTAATATTTTGTCTATAGTAATAGACAAGAAAGTTAATTAAATGTACTCACTGTCGCACTGACACTCACCAACTTCGTCTCTTGCCCCCTGTGGTTAATCTCATTCTCTTTCTTCTTCTAATTTCTTTTATTATCCTCTCAGTGGGAAATACGAGAACTAAGAATTTAGGGACCCACAGAGGTTTTTATTTTGCAACATAACACTCAAGTACAGACATTACTCTCGTGATAGAGTGCTGACACAGCTTTTATGTCCACACACAAAGCACATCTAAAGCTTTCCTCATGGAAACCGCATAACTAAAGCATCACCCACGATGCCCTGCTACCGTACATAAGCATGTAACCTCACGTACCCCTGCTGTGCCTCTACTACAGTAACCCATGCAGGTCAGGTACAGCAGGTGTGAGAGATGAAGAAGCGCACGTGTGCTCCTACTGCACAGACCAGGAACAAGCCATTCTGGTCCTCGAATGCAGAAAAAGCGGTCACTAATGATTTTGCGAGAATAAGCAAATTTGCGAATGTCCAACTCCGTCATGTGAATGATTTACCGTACCACCCAAATGAGACAGTAACTTTCTGCATAACGATTTGGGGTTGGAAAAAAATCAGACCCTCTCCCCTCTCCTTACCTTTAATGCGTAGTAAAAGGGAAACCAGTAGAGAAAGATGTCAGAGAAGAACTCCGCCACGCTGAAGATGCCGTACACCACCCAGTACGTCAGCCACTTCGTGTCGTCCTCCTTGTTAGCGCTCTCGATGGCCTTGATCCTGCGAGAGGAGAGGGGGGCACCGAGGTCAAAGCTGGCAGGAGGAGCAGCTGCTTCACTGGGGTCCGTCCCCTGTGTCCACTGGATACCTGTACTCTGTGTCTCCCTCCATGACTAACATGCTCTATAGAAATGAAACTGGTGGTTGAGTGCGTTTTTTCTTGTGAATGCTTTCTTAAAGCTTTTTTATTGTCTACAGTGTCGAAGGAATAAATAGCCCAGACATCGCTGGTTCCAGCTGTAGTGCACAACTGGCAGAGTGACTCCAGAGGTGGGAGGCCTAGTGTGGACGAGGACATCAGGAGCTTGCCAGGTAACAGTGCCCCCTGGGGGCTTGTATTTCTGCATGTCAAATCATGCTCTAAAGTGAAGGCTTGATATTCAAACTAGACAGACAATCCTGATAGACTAATGAAATGGGAAAAATTGTACTTACGAGAAATAAGCCGGATACACAAATCCTATTAAATTGCAGAGCAAGGAGGCTCCATAGCCAAAAATCAAATACAGGCCAGTGAAGGAGACTGTACCTGTAAACAAAGCAGAAAACTTGAATGAGTACTGAAATTATTCAAAAATACATATTCGAATGACCGCTGCACTCATCACTGATTAAAAACTTCCTGTGCTCTTCCATGTCCAAAAACACAGTGGTAGGTTAATTGGCTTCTGGGAAAAGTGACCCTTGTGTGAGTGCATGGGTGCTCGTATCTGTGCGTCCCTTCCAGGGTGTACCCTGCCTGGCACCCATTGCTTGCCAGGATAGGCTTCTGCTCCTCCAAAGAAGTGGCTAGAAAAGTTTGTTTGAAGCCAGGGTACCACTTCAATAACATGACTCAGTAGTTTATTCCATGTTGTGGAAGGCTAAGCAACATTGTTACTCTGCCTTTGCCTTTAGTAAAGAACTGATACCCACACCTGTAGCAGCTCGATTCTTATTCCTTTGTTCAGGTTCCGTCTGGCAATTTTTCTGCCATTAATGTATTCTTTGTTGCCCACGGTACATCCTGCAGCTCACAAAAGCTGAAATAGATCCAACTGCTGGGAAGCGAGTTAAACTGCCGAGCTTTCTCTCCAAGATATCATGCACTCATTGTGCACATTTTTCTAGCAAACACTTTCACAAACCTTTTTATTGTCTACAGAGCCAAGTAAATAAAAGCAATTCCTACAGGATATAAACAAGGATAACGAGCAGATAAGCAAATAAGACAGGCATAAACCAGGCACTCTCAAACACCCAGGCGCTCTCACAGGGCGGTGTGTACCGTAAGGTAATTTGTGCCTGACCTCACCCGGCTCAAGACATAAAGGCTTGTGCTGCACATCGACAGTATTTAATACAAACTCAGAAGTGACACAACTGAGTCTGTCTCATGAACGTTTAGCAGGTACTGACAGCTTTTGTGTCCCATGTGGACATTTAAAAAAATATATTCTGCAAAATTACACAACCTCTTCACAACCTCCTGAAAGATTTCAACACCAAAATACACCTTTGTTTTCCAAATCAAACTAACTGGCTTTTCCTGTCTTATGTACAATTTTTTTTTTGTATTTCCTCAAGCTTGCCCTCAACTCTAAACTCTACTGGTCCTCATGCAAATAGAGTCTCCCACAAGCTTGTGTTAAATTGTGCCTGTTGCTGGGTGGGTTTTTCTGTTAAATGACCATCACATTTCCTAGATCTGGAGCTGACCCCTAGAATAATTATTTTGGATTTTTTACATCTGATATTTTCGAGGTGCAGCAGCGTCACAGCACGTCATTTTAGTAAGTGCACTGAAGAGTTATTCAACAACAGCTACAATTTTATTTGCATAAGCAAATCATATCCGCAGGCTGTTTTTCATTCTTTAAAGTGGGCAGTGTCAGCACTATCTGTTTTGTTAATCTTTCAACTCCTTATTCCATTTCTTTTATAGTCCTGAAGTTTAACATCACCAACCTGTCTTCCACTGTGTGCATGTTCAACTCCAGAGAAAAACAAGATAATTAGTGCCTTAAAATTAAGAAGATAGATCTCTGGATACCACCACATATTACATTTCCTGGTTTGGCCCCCAAACACAGCAACTTGATTTGGACCTCTTGTGACATCCAAATAGACAAATCAATTTAAAAATCTATTGCAAAGTAGGAGAACTAGTTATGCGATACCCGATTTAACTTAAAAAAGACCACAGTATGTGTGTTCATCACATAGGTGCTCAACTCCAGGCCTGGAGGATCAGAAAACAATATTGAAAGGACTCTGGTCCATTACAGGGGATGTCTTCACAGTAATGCAACACAATTAACAATCAGGACAACTGATCAGTTAAAAGAAACTGATCCAGAACTGTAGAACAGAAACGTGTATGCTACAATGATAAAGGTCCCCATTCAAACATCTCAATCAAATCCAGCCAGACTTTTACAGAAGTCGGTAGGAACACGTGGGAGCCCAGCACCAGTTATCCTGCAGGCAGCTGTGGTATACTATGCAGCACTAGGGTGCTGGTGCTGCCTGGAGCCCATTATTTTCATTAGAAAGCATGCTCTGCAAGATGAATGCATGTCTGTTCAGTGAAGGAACAAATAACTGGCTTTCAAACAATATGACACTATATACCACCATGTGAGTCACCAAATGTTTAAGCAACTGGTCTGTAACATTTCCTGTCACTATCTCATTCTGAAGAACTTTATAATGTAAATAAAATGTGCATAATGCTCCATGAAAGTCTTAATAAAAGAAGAAAATTCAAATATATCTTATCTTTTTGTGTTCTTTCAATCAGGTTACTAAAAGAAAACGATTCAACAGTAAATATCTTCACGTAAGTATGTTAAGGTCAGATGGCTTCTTCTTGATCAGCAATGACTTCAACTAAACCTTTCCTGTAACTGTTCATCAGTCTCTTGCACTGACTTCCTGAATGTTGTCCCATTCGTCTTTGTAGAACTGTTTCAAGTTGGTGACATTTGAGAGTTTCCTTGCACATTCAGCTTGCTTCAGTTGATTAAGGGATGGTCTAACATTCTCACCCAGGCGTTGCTCATACAATTCATGATTCCATCAATGAAGGCAAGTGGCCTCAAACCATGACATTCCCACCACCATGCTTGATGACTGGAAGGATATTTCCCACAATTAATATTGGGCGTTCACAAACATTTTATCTGCACTGTACAGCTTCATGTTTCAATGTTTGAATGAAGGGATGTTCTAGCATCACAGTCTATAAAACACAGTCCTAAAATAGTGTTAATAGATAATATGGCCATACTGTAATCTACTGCAAAATGTCCAATGCATAGCAAACCAGTTTTAGTCAGGCTAGGAATTGGTGAGGCACAATGTTTCTTTTTGCTGGAGAGTCCTGTGGCAGATGGCACAGAGTAGCTTTTCACCCTGCAGCACAAACGTCACTAAGCTATTTATAATATTTGTAATACCGTGTCCCAGATCAACACCAATATCCATCCGACCCACAGTGAGGAATACGTAGCACAACTAAAGAGTGGAAATCAAAAAATATATTGAGCTTCAGCTTTTGAATTGCATTAAATACTGAAGATTGTGTTCATCTCTTTGGGGAAAAAAAAACATTGGAACTCAACTATCCATTCATTTTCTAACTGCTTTATCTAACACAGGGCCACGGGGGAGCTGGAGTCTATCCCAGCAGGTAACGGACACAAGGCAGGGCACGCCCTATGGGACAGCAGTCCATCACAGGCACAAACACTCACACACATGGGCTAAAATACTAAGAAGCCAGGTGACCTATCAGCATGTCTTTGGACTGTGGGAGAAAACCAGAGCACCTGGAGAAAACTCACACAAACCCAGGGATCGAACCTGGGGCCCCAGTGCTGCTGACCACTGTGCCACTTTGCCAATCTAATCTAAACTATCCTGATTAGAAAGAAGTTTTTGTGGCAGGTTCAGAGTCCAAGGGACCAAACTACGAAATCTCAAGAAGAGGGATTATCCATGCTTAGCCGGTAACCACAACAGCAAACTGTAAAGGGAACCTGTAGGAGGCTCATCTCAGTAATCAGAAGCATCAGGCTGACAGAACTGACAGAAAACACTGATTGTAAACAACCATGAACTGAGATGAACACATCTTTACTCTGAACCCTCCCATGACAGAGTAACCTTTAAGTATTCTGTCTTGTGTTCATTTGATACACAACTATTTTAATTTAAAAATAGCCCTGGGACCAGCTGTCAGCAGGGAGAAGTCAACTTATATACAGTTCAGGTTGCCAGTCATGGAGCAACTATAGATGGCTCTAACCATCACTAGGAGACAACGGGTATTTTAAGATGGGAGTCACTCTGTCAAAGGGACTCTTTAGAAATAGTTTTTTCTGTTATAATTTTAAAATTCCATCTCCCTCTATCAGGGCAAAAAACACAAAAATAAGAAAGTCCTCCAATATATGGTTAAATTTCAAATTTATACACATGAACTAGCTGATTCTACTGAAATGTCTGAGATTGTTTTTTTATGTGTTACCACACCACTTTTTGGATTATGGAAGACTAAAGCAACTATCGGTGCAGTGAGGCGATGCTACATCGGAATACAAAAAAAGTCGCTTGAGGGTGACGTAAAATATGTGGAATATTTGCACGGCTTGTCGGATTGCCTGCGAAAGGCGCAGGTGTGTCGCTCTGTCCAGCTCAGCGCAGGCACAGGACACCGAACAGGCGGCTGAAACTGATAGCTCACATTCAAGATTATGTTACAAATAACCCGCAGCCCGAGGAAGGGAAGTTATTACATAATTTAACATGCATTTGACGATATCTTAATGCTCGGTTATTGGCATTCAACAAAACAGTTCGTATACAACATTATTGTATAATAATGTTGTTATTATATTGTAACGCAACGGGGGCTCGGGCGGGCGCCCTTGCCGCATTAGGTCGGCCCCCGTTGCGTTACAATATAATAGCCTGCCGTTGAGAAGGTACAAAATCATTAAGACCGAGATATGTTTTCCAACACCTTAGGTTGTTACATATTTCCACTCAATCATTTTAACTTAAAGTTAATTATACTTATAGTATTATGCTCTATCGAAAACTTATCAATCAGAAAGTAAATGGACATTATTAAAATTAATACAATTTCAAACATCTTGAGAGGCATAACGACCAACTCTCTCAAAGAGACCAAAGGAGTACATACAGTACTACAATTCGTACTGAACAAGGATTACATTTCGGCAGTTGCAATGAGATTTAATTCAACAGTTGGGCACTTAATTCCAGTTAAGAGCTGCACAGAGATTAACCTGAGCCTACAGGTTACACTCACAGCCGCAGAAGAACCACCGTTTACTGAAACTACTCCAGCAGATGGTCGGGCTACAGCAGCGTTTTCGGACCGAACTGAAGTTTTAGGTTGTTTTTTAATACACAAAAGGTCTTTCCGTGATATACAACACTAAAGTGCCATTATCAATTTTCACCACAGCGACAATTTAAGAAAAATACCAAAATGAAAATTAAACTCACTAAAATATTCAGCCACGTTTCGTGCAAGGTGAAAGGTAGAGCGGGCATATGGAAGGTGACTCACCTGTCGCCAGGTAACGTTTCTTAATTCCGGTTTTCTCCTCGATCTTCCCCAGGCAGTCGGTTACAAAGTTCTTCTCGTTCAGAAACTTCTCAAAACGGTCTTTCAGTTTGGCAAACATGGTCGAACGCAACAGGTTTTTTTTTGGTCTCTAAATCGACATCTGCAAACAAGGACCGCCAGAGAGGACAGAAACGGAGAATGCGAAAGGCTAGGAAGTGTTTCGGTTCCGATTATTTCGGGAATGTGAAATCTTCAATTTCGCTGACGGGACTAGCACTCTGCCCCGGTCTTTCAATCCGCTTTGTGACCGAGCCGCCACTCAGTGCGTCACGGCCGGAGGAGGGGGGTTAGATTGTCAGCTGACACGCACCCGCAGCAGGTGCACAGGTGAGAGAGCAGGTGTAGGACAAGGGAAACGTTCATCAGCCAGACGTCATTAGAGAACGCAATAGAGCTTTCGAGTTATAGTTTACTTGAAACAGACTTTGATGTGTCGGAACTGATATACTCCTATTCTAGGATGAAAACGTAAAGTCATTTATAAACGTCAAACATTTTAGACGAACCTTCAGTTCTTAAAACCCATCTGTATTTCCCAACACGTAATTCAGTTCTGATATACCGTACATGACTTTTATGTCGATACGCATTCATATACTGTAGGTCTCTGGTATAATTTCCGGTGGACTGAAATTTCATTTTTATTTGTTTTGTTTTTTTATTTGTACTTAATTAGAATCAGTTTAGCTGTACTATGTGTAATTGTAAAATTGAAAATGTTTTATCTTCACTGAACAGAAAACAGTCGTAAAAAATGACTGGCAATAAAGTCTCAAGTCTTGCACTGGTACTTGAGTACACTGCGTTCAGCGCCTCCTCTGTGTTACTCTTCCTATCCAGCAAGTGACGCTATGTGTCTAAAAATACACTGCGGCCCATTGACTAACACCATAATAATCAATACAAAATCAGAGAACGCCAATGATAGTGGATGTGATCTCATTAGACATAAAAAAATAACAATGCTGCTGCATTTCTCTTAATCACACTCAAAACCATTGCAGAATTATAATTAAATAAAAAAAACAAAAGCAATATACAATAAACAGTAAAAAACTAGAGAAATATATTAATATTCCCCTCATTGAGAACAACTGACTAAAGAAAATGTATAAAAGTGACACTATTACTCATAATAGGATGTCACATACTGTAGGTGTTTTTCTGTCCTCTTGGGTCCGGGGTCCGATTCTGAATCAATGCACATTGCGTGTGGAGTTTGCATGTCCCACTCGTGGTCACATGGGTTTGCTCTGGATGCTGCAGTTTCCTCCCACCATCCAAGCCCTCACTGCCCAGGTGTCCCTGTGTGCACCTGTGAGTGTGTGTGCCCCAGGAGCCAGGGCAGGGCAGAAGCTGCCTTGTGCCCTTGTCTGCCCTTGTCTGCCTCAGCTCACGGCTCAGCTCACTGTGAGCCTGGACTTAGCACTTCTTAAACATGGAGAGTTAATAGTATATCTTTCAAAACAAGGGGCAGAGGCACCATTCCATGTTCACAGTTATACACGTCTCTGTTAGGAATGTGTGACAGTATAGTAGTGACAATTCTGTGTAGACGCCAATTGGTGTCCTTTTGTATCAAACAGCCCCTTTCTGTAGGTAGGAAACTCCTGGCTTTAGCCCCTCAAGAGATGCACAGACATGTTTAGAGTTAGGGTCCCTTTTCTATACATCAGAGATATGTCAAAGCTAATACTAGATGATCGCTTGCAAGTTTTGACAAGCTGCAAGTGTGTGACTGTGTGTTTGTGGCTATGCCTTAGTGCCCTGAGGACTATTGTAAAGGCTGTGGAAAAAGCATTCAATTCCCAGGAAAATAATGATTCAATTTGTGGTTTCAACAAATACTGTAGTTGTGCCTTTGGGCTGTCTTCTATGTGCAATCACAGGCTAAAGTATGCATCCTATTATGAATAGCAGGACAAGATCCACACAAAAATCTAACCTGAAACTACAATTAATGCTTTTTGGCAAAACCTGTTATCTATCCTGTAATGGGTACTCCAGCAATCGTACAGTGATTCTATTGTACGAATCGAAGGCCAGGGTGATATCTGCCATGAGCTTGGCTTCGGTTTTCTGCTTCATCTCCAGGGGGCTGGAATGAGCTGTCTGCCACAGACGCTGCAGGTATTTCCTCTTACTCAGTCAAGAATGTGCACAGCGCCCCTGTCCAGGCAAGCTCACACAAGCCGATCTCGCAGGAAAAGAGAGGAAAAGGCAGCAAATCGACGACGTGGGTTTGTGTGAAGTCCGACAGCCACTGTCTACAACCCCCGATGTTCCCCAAAGACATCTCGAAAGGTAACCAAGTCCTGGAAAGTCTTTCAAAACTATGAAGGCAATCGACACCATTAGGTATACCCTGTTCGCATTCTGTTACCTGTTCTGGGTAAGTGTTTGCCTTTCGGTTTTGATCGCTCGTTTTCCTGATGGTCCTGAAGACCAGCGAGGGGAATCATCTGCAGATTCGCTCAGATTGAAGATTTTAAGATTTACTGCACTCAGAGTCACTCTGAGTGACCGGAGGGAATAAATAAGCACATTTGAATAAAACGGTCAGACTAATAAAGTCCTAATTATTACTAATAAATTATGAAGTTATAAGATAGACTTAGTCAGGTGCTGGTTGATTTGTTCAGGCAGGGGAATGTTTTCAGGTGAAATTGTCAAACTTATACAGTAGGTGTGCTCTAGACTCAAGCTGATTTTAAATCAGTCTTCCTTGGTAATTTTTCAAAAACATTTTTTGGGGATAAGAAAAAGTTAATTAGGCGAAATACACACAAATCGTAACTATCATATTGCATAGTTCTAAAGCTATTTCACAAGAAAAATACATGTAGGAAAAAGGTGCATCTAGTCCACACATGGTTTGCCTGCAGGCTTCTGTGATTTAAAAAAAATGAAAACACAGAATGTTGTTTATGGTGGAGAATTGATTCACTTACAGTAGGTTATTTTTCATTACATGTAAATAATGTGGGGGTTTAAAATGCCAGTTTTTTAGTGGAAAAAGTTTAATTCCAGATACAGCTAGTAGCATTAAAATCAATACTAAAATTCTTTAACACAGTTTTAAATAAATACCTACTAACATAGATCTTTTGCAGTGTGGTGCCTATCTTAAAAAGGCTGTGTGGTGATCTGAGACATGAACCAACACTTGATACTTTTCACCATACAGAGAAGTGTTTACAAGTTCATTAGGAAATAATACAGGCTATGCAGATACAGACATCTAAAACAGAAACTCAGGATACATACTGTAGATGGTGTGCTGTTCAGGCGTGACTAACTACAGGCCACTTGTAGTCATAATCGGAAGGCATTAATGGGGGCCTTCATTATTAAACTAGTTTTCAGTTGTAAAAACAGATTTTGGCATAGGTTAACCATCTTCCTTTATGATGGTGTTGAGTGTAAAAGATCAAAATAATAGAAGATATAATAAGAGCTTGCATAATCATTATTTATTCTTCTAGAGGAGGTTAAAGTCTATATCTACATGTCAGGCTGTACAGAGGGGATTTGTCCTGAATAAGTCTCTCGGTAAAGACAGACATTCTTCTGTAATACATCTGACATCTGTGCTTCTTAGCTATTTGTTGCTTAAATTACTGTCTCCTCACTTACATACATAGGTTGCAAGTGCTGTGCTGATCTCAGTTGGCATCTATGCCAAAACTGCCAAGGAGGGTGGTGAGTACCCAGTCTAACCAGCTAAAACACTGGGAGAAAGATAAAGCAAACCAATTCAATCGCTTGAAAACTAAATTAATTTAAATTCAATAATCAAATATTTTTGCACTCGATCTGTAGTTTGACCTAACCATTGCCTTAATTTCTACGGTTCACTTCAATGTGTTTCACCATATTAAATCCTGTTGTACTGCAGCAAAGGTTCCTTAGAAATATTTGTCATGGTATTCCTGTAGTCCAATGCAGTACATACTGTAGAATGTAAACCCCAGAGCACCAATGTACAGTACAGTAAGAACATTACTGTAGAGACAGCATTTGTTTCTGCAATGTTGAGCACAGATCTTTTATAAAACACGTAATAATAAAGAGACAAAGTACAGTAGTTAGAAGATGTATGGGAGAATGCAGAAAACGAATTGGAGTATTCTAATTCCAGTGGTTACAACCCATCCACTCTCTAACTGGTTTATCCAATAAAGAGTTGCAGGGCACCTGGAGTGTTTCACGACAGGAATGAGCACATTGAGTGACCTTATTGCAGCAGTCAAACACTGTCCTCACAGGACTGTTTCCCCTGCATGACAATTCTTTTCACATGGTATTCTTTCATCATGGGGTCTAGTAACCATTAGTGACAATGCATTAATCACAAAATAACAGATTATCCATCATAGGATATATGAAGTTAAACTCTCCTTAACAGTATGAATTAGTCATTCATGAAGATACAGGGTTAATTTTTTTCTGAGAACATCTGTTCTGTGTTTTTTTCAGGTGTGGTAGACTCCTTGACTGCAGACCCTGCCCTGATATTGATCGTTATTGGCTCTTTAATGTTCATCATTACATTTTTTGGGTGCTTTGGGGCTTTGAGAGATGTAACTGCGCTGCTGTACATTGTAAGTATTGAATGCTCTCAGGATTTGGCATGCTTGCCTGCTTTTTCTGCACTGCTTTAAGCTGGATCTAGTTTATTTCAGCATCTGTTGAAAACAGGTGGTTGTGAAATCTAAGGATGCTGTAGACTGTAGCAACTTGTTTTTTATATGTAATCCGGGAGGCATGGTGATGCAGTGGTGAGCAGTGCGCTGAGGGCCCGGGGAAATTGGCCCTGGTTGTGAGTGTGTGCTCTGGGATAGACTGATGTCCCATCCAGAGTGTATCCTGCCTTGAGCCTCCTGCTTGCTGAGAAAGGCTCTGGCTTCCCAGAGGCTCTGTACTGGATAAAGTGGTTTGAAAATGAATGGATGGATGGATGGATGTGACCTTCTATTGACAAACAACCTTCCACCCCTCTTAAAGCAGTAAAACACTAACAATCTCGAACCCATCGACTGGTCTTGTGTCTTTTTCAGTTCACTGTGATCTTAGCGGCCGTCCTTTTACTGCAGATCGCAGCCGCTGCCCTCGGATTTCTGTTCTCAGACATGGTACGCGCTGGTGAGCCAGTTACATTTTCCTTTCGCTTCATTTGGCACGTGACAATGAAAAATGGATGATTACCAGCGGAAGCAGTCTGAAGCAGAGCTGTCACGGGGCATCACATCTTCAGACTCCGGCTGAGAATTTTCTTGGTTTGGGGAGTTCACTTGAGACTCACTGTTTCATCCTGAGAGCAAGCACTCTGATCCTCAAATTCTTTCTCTCTAGAGGATTTTGAAATGTTGTAGTTTCTAATGTAGGCCAGTAGTTTTAATATAGCTTATAAACCTCAGCGACAGGACACCTGTTGTTTCTTGCGTTTGGTGTGCGGTTCTGCCAGCCGGGACAGGGGAAGAGACTGACCGGGATATAACTCTCCATGCAGGTGCTAGGGCGGACAGAGATGCTCATGAGAAGAGGGATTGCTCAGTACCGGGATGACATGGATCTGGAAAACATAATCGATTTTGTCCAGAAAAAGGTGGATATTGATACAGAGCTGTACTGATTTCTCACAGTTCTTGAAACATTGGAATGTCTTTGCTCCAATGTGGAAATGGGACTGGATGAGAGCAGCCGTGGGATGAACCATTCATGCTGTCAGTACAAAGGTGTTTTTATTTCAATCAAGAGGGAGACGTTCAGGATGTATTTGCTTTTGTAGCAGATTTCTGTTTTTCAGCAACAGTAACAGTGGATTTGAAAGAACTTAGGAAGAATAGAAGTACATTAGGAGTAGTTATTTAATTGATTCCCAAATTCTCTACATACAACACCTGCTATAATGAGACAAAACAGTGCTTATTAGGAGTAAATTAGGAGTTTTTTAAATTAGGAGCTTTTTAAATCTGGCTGTGGCAGAGAACAACATGAAAGTTGATAAGTTTCCTCATGTGGTCTGAAATTGGGCTCTTTGCTGTATTCATCAATGTGTTTCTTCCTTTTCCAAAGTTTCAGTGCTGTGGAGTGCAGCAGTACAGAGACTGGTCGCTCAATGTTTACTTCGAATGTGTGGATCCCAACCCCAGCCTTGAGCGCTGTGGCGTGCCTTTCTCTTGTTGCGTCAGGAGGAGAAATGAGGTGAGAATGGGTGAATTTAGTGAAAGTGTGACAACATAAAGTCTGATTCCAAACAACTTTTTTAGGATTGTTAGTATCTGCTTTTAGGTCATAAAATAATACATGAAGCTTGTTAGTGGCTGAGGGCTTCCACTCTTTCACTCTTCAATGTCTGCTCCAACAGATCTTCACAAATTATCCGATATTTATGTTTGCTGGGAGGACTCGAGCTGGAATGGCCACCTGTAAAGACTGAAACAGTAATTTCCGATAGAGCTCTGCAAAGTTGTCTCCCTTTTTCGCAACCCACCGCATGTACTAGTGCTCCGTTTGTGCTGATTTCTGTTCCTTTTCTTCCCGAGATCCCTGTACTGGATAAAGTGTTTAGAAAATGCATGGATGATTTAATTAGAAAACAGTATCTGGTCTTGGCACTGGTAGGGAGATTGTATTTCTGTTTGTTAATTCCATTAATAAAAATTGAGAGTGTAGCTCAAATGAGGTGTGATAACATCCCCTGACAAATCAGTGATCCATGTTCTCTGGAGCAGGATTAGAGGTTTTTGCAGGCAGTGGGCAGTTTAGGCTGGAGCATTAACAGTAGAATAGACATTTTCTGTACTCAGTCTACTGAGAGAGGCCCATTGCCCCATGGTGTTCAGTTGCTGTGTGCTTTGTTTTTGCAGTCAGTCCTCAACACTATGTGTGGTTATGGAGTTCAAAGTCTGGATGCAGAGTCGGTGAAAGAGCACATTTACGCTGATGGCTGCCTGGACAAAATTGTCACATGGGGAAAGCAGAACCTTCTCCTGATAGGAGGATTAACCATTGGATTACTTGGCCTAGAGGTGGGTCTGCACAAGGCCACTCTGCATTTAAATACATGGGACCCATTTCAAATTGTGAAAGTTGCCAGTCTGCATGCTGTTTATACAGTGTATTAGCACTGTAATCCAGCATGTTATGCAGTTTCCAGGTGCAGAGTGATGATAGATGACTTGAAATTCAGTATCTACTACAGCATTAGGAAGAGAGAACAATATAATTATTGCACTGAGAATCTATAAGTCTGTGAGTTGAGGAGCGTCTTCCAAGTTTATGAAGACCAAGTCTTTGGGATCTGCAACTGTTGTATCACATACACACCTCCCTGGCTCCCTGTTAGTCAGAAAGGAGCAAGACAGCTTTCTTCAGCTCAATACTGAATACAATCTGTGTAAAAATTAGTTAGGCATGAGTAAACAGAACATATGTTAGCTCTAGGTCTAAAACTTCTTGTTGACACTTGCTTTTCTCTTCACTTTTTTCCCCCTAGATTTTTATGATCACGTTGGCTGCCATCCAGATCTTTCAACTCAAGAAGGAGCAGATGGAGGGCAGTGAAGACAGCCACACAGGCAAAGAAAAGAGAAGTTTAAAAGACTAAGCAGGGTTACCCACCTTAAGAGCCCTGTTTTTCCAGATTAACATTGGATACATGCAGTGCCCTGAAAGTATAAAATGAGCACCTCTTTCTATAACACAGGAAACTTTGGGGGGCTGGTGGAAGTGTGATGTAGTTTGCTCGTTAAATAGTTCATGGGGTCAGACATTGGACAAGGATTGTGTTTTAGAATGTACCCCAATATTGCGCAAGTGAGCCATGCCAGGGGGAGAATTAGGCAATAAAATATGAGTCTCACAAAACACTATCCACTGTGAGAGGTGTTCATCTTACTCTGCTATGGAAATGTAATGTATATACAGTACAGTACATATATTTGGAGTTCTACAGTTTCATTTTTTAATTCATATTAGCTTCTCTTTAGGTTTCTAGAAATATCTGAGTGCACATTATCAGGAGAGGAGACGAACCCAGATATCAGCTGAAATGACCACAGTTCGTGGTAACTTTATCACAATGAAACAGGGATGTTGCAGAGCAAAGCTTTACATTTAAATGCAAAGCATTCTGATAGAGTACAGACTGGAGACTGTGGTGTGTTGGACACATGGAACCGTAATTAGCAAACTGAGGAATTAGCAAAAGGGTAGAAACATGCAGCTTTTCAGAGGTGTTTACACTATTACAGTAATTCAAAATGTGAAATTAAACACAATTGTGTTGAGCAACTTTAGCATGGCACCTTGGATATATATCTAGAATTTTCTGGCTCAACCAGGCTTCAGACTTGGGAGGGGAAATTTTGTTTTTGCTTAAAAAGTCCATGTATCATTTTCAATATTTATTTTTAACTAATGTATTAACTCTTTTTTAATGCAAACACATGTGAAGATCATCTCTAGTCTGTGAAACACTTTATGCATTTCAATTGTATTTTGAAACAGGTGTATGTGATTTTTGTATATATTGTATCTGAGAACATGAAAATAAAATTCTTTAACTACAATATTTTATTGTAAATGGTTAAAAATCTGCATTTGAGTCTTTTAATGTTAAAATTAATGCTTAATAATCTTAGGTATTCAGACTCGGATGTGTTTTTTATCCTCTAGGGCATGAGAACTGTGCAGAGGGGAAAATAAGATTGCATGCAATTCATAAAGAACTTTACACTTTAAAGTAAAAACATTAACCCTATAGTATCTTTAAAAATGAAGGCAAGTTCTAATGCATTTTGGACTTGCCACTGAGGACTCAATGGTAAAAAAACTAATTTCTTTGGAATATTTATTCTTAATCCCATAAATTTAAATAAACTTCACACTGTGCAATCAAGGACCCCGTGAATACACGAATACCTATTTGGATTTGAAAAGGTCCATTACTTAAGACACTTATTTTTTCTTACTCCGGACAGCTGAGACCATATAGCACACGAATAAAAAAATCAACGTCAGAATAAAGCACACATTTGTGAGCTCCGAGACTTCTGTTCCCGTCGGCGATGCTGGGCCTGGAGTCCAGCTGCTGTTCCTGAGCTCAGCGGCAGAGAGGCCGCTGTCTTCCTGGACGTGACCTCGCACTGCGCCCGGACGTTTCGGAGCGGGTCGTACTGTGGGTCTATGGACTCGGGGCAGCGGAATCTCTCCTTGATCACGAATCCCAGCTGAGAAAGCGCCACGAAGCCGTCCGCCCAGGCCACGATCTCAGGAACTGAGGCGTAAACGTACTGAACCGCTAACAGCCGTCCTGCGAAGCAAACGCAATACAGGAAAGCCGTCTTTCCAGAATAGTGCCAAGGGACCGTGCGAGCCAAAATGTCACCAAGAAGGACTCATATTAAATAAGAGTTAATTAGTTTTCGCCTTTTCAACTTCGCTATCCTTGCATTTATGGTGGACTGAATATTGTCTAAGCAAAGGGATTATTTTTGGCCAAAGTGTGCAATATTTTGCTACTGCTTGTCACGGGTGGATTACTGTGGATTACTGTACTAGTGATCGAGTGTAACATGTTTACATGATTACAGGCTCATATGAGCCGTTATGACTGCCGGCTCAGCTAGTCTGTAAGAATCTGTCCAGCACGCAGACAGACGCAGCAGTTTGACAGGACTGTCGAGGACACAGCCTCTCTGTGATCTCCGGCACCTTGAGGTCCCTACTGTGCGTACCGTACGTGTGGGTCATCTTCATTGTTATATATGTACTCTGTGTTTGACATGCGTGTGTTATTGATGCTTTTTCTTTCGCTTCTCTGCACCCATGTCTATTTTCTGTTATTTCGAGCACATCACAAAAATCGATTTGGCAAAAAAGTTGATTGTGACTTTTGAGTAGTGCAGCAGCCTCCGTGGTCAAAGGCTCTAGGTTTACAACCCAGGTTAGACACTTTTTAAGGCCCTACACACCCAACTCGTACTCGGTACTTGGCATCTCTGACCGCTCCCTAGGTACCAAGCAGGGGTCTCCACTCTGCACCTTTTAGTAGCGCTTTCTGACGCAGGGGTGTCTCTGCGCCTGCGCTCGGCCGCCCTGCTCCAGAAGCCACTCCCTGACACTGAGACATGTCATCTCTGACAGTTTGTAACTCTAGAATCAAGACATATCTGTTTAATACGGCTTTTAATTCATGTTTTCCCGTTTCTTATTTTCTACGTGTTTTGAGTCTCTATCATTACTTCTTTACTTCTGTTCTGTACTGTTTCTTTTTCTCTTGTTTGTTTTACCCTGTAAAGTTCCCCTAAACACTATTGGTGTACAGGAGCACTGAAATAAAAGATGAGAAAATCCGTAATTACCACTGCTGGTTTCCCACACTTTGATTGTTCGGTCTTGCGAGCCAGTGAACACATAGCGATCGTCTTCGGAGAAAACCGCACAGAGAATCCCTTCGAAAAAGAAACCCTGGACATCAAACAGAAGAGATTGATTGGCACCGGAGAAACAGTGGGGATCAGCACAAATTGCAAATCAAAACCAAAAATAGTGCTCCTTTGCAAAATGATACATGCACACAATACGCTATAAGGGGTAATGATAATGATCATCAAGACAAAGCAAGTTAAAATGCTGGCCCATTTGAAAACTAAGCACATTGTAAGTGGCTTTTCTTTGGGTGGAGGAGTTGTTCTCTTTTTGCGCGACATTTTCTACTTGAAATGACATTTCATGTTTGACATTAGTCTTCCTTGAAAAGCACTTTCACTTTTCATGCTGGAAACAATTATACAAAAATAAAAACTAAAAAGAAAGAATAAGAAAATACATTTTCAATAAATGGCACAAAAGGTCATATTGCAGGTCAAAAACATGAAAAAATACTAAATCGTTCATTTATTGAGATACATTTTTTAAATATAACAGTTATTGATGTACATCAGCAGTTTGTAAAGTGGAAACGTGGCAATTATCGCAACTTGGCAAATAAGGCACTGCAAGATTTAATTGTAATTGATGTTTTTAGCATCTTCTAACTTTAGAATTTAGGAAATAACCAATTCATCATATATATAGTATATAATAGACAAAACAATCCCCGTGATCCCAATCCACTCTCCTGCTGTCTGATGGAAACAGTACTACTTGAGTATCTCAGCTGAAGGAGAAGGTTTCCCATGACGCTGGAGGAATGCAGCATGCTTCAGACATGTCCCAGTTCCACAGTGAGAGGGTTCGCCTGTCCTGCTCACATGCAGCACTCTCAATCCTCCTGTCTTGACTGCCTCCTGTCTCAGGATCCTGGATAAACACACGTCTCCCCTGGGTGCTCACCTTGTAATTCATCTCGTGGTCCAGGAGCAAGGGCGACAGACGCCAGAGGCGCTGGACGGAGTCCTGGGAGCCCACCAGGCTGAACTCTTCGCTGTTACTGACAGCGATGCATGTGACCTTCGTCCGGTGTCCCTCCAGGGCCACTGCCTCAGAGCCCCCGAGGTCGCGCAGCCAGACCTGGCCGCTGTCAGCGCCGTACAGGACTCTGCAGTCCGAGAGCACGGCCGCGCAGGAGAGCGCCCAGGGCCGCCCGGGGCCCGGCAGGGGCAGCTTCCCTAGCGCCCGCTCCACTGTGGGATAGGCGTCGCCCGGGCTGATTTCAAACACGCAGATGGCGTCTTCGTACGCCACGGCCAGCCGGTCCTCCTGCTTGCTGACTGCCAGGCCCAGCACCGGGGACAGAGACTCCGGAGGAGGGATGCACATGGCCTCCGGCCCGAAGCCCAGCGGGTAGATGAGGACGGTGCCGGTTTGCAGCCCGCAGAACAAAAGCTGCCTTGACTGGGCTACTTCCAGGCAGGACACCTCGGCGGACACAGCCCTTTCTTCCGAGCACCGGCCTGTGACACGGGCCGGGGGAAGATGGGGAACAAGGAGGGAAAAGTGTAAGATGTGCCCTTTTACAAAACAACCTGCAATGGGTTTTCCTGGTACTGACTGCGCTGTGAGGGGCGACACCTGCTGGCTAGATGTGGTAAGTGACTAACGGCGTTCACTGACGGGTGAAAATTGACAAATTTAAATATTGTAGGTGACGTTTCTGTCTCAGGTGTAGCGCAAGAAAGGTCTACATTTGAGTCCGGGATGGACAGAATAATAATCAGACCCTCTCCCTGAGTTATTACTGGTTGACTATGCCATTATTTATTTTTAAAAAAAAGAGAATAAAAAATAAAATCAATTATTGACTTAAAACAAACAATGCATGCCTGTATAGACCTATTAAAACAATCATTATTTAAGTTCATTTACCCGACTGGCAGTCCCACACCACAACTTCCCGCCTGTCTCCTGGTCTGAGGAAGTACACAAAATCCCCGCTGTGTGAAAGGGTCGGCAGTAAACTGCGGCCCGGGAAGGGAGGTTTGGTCTTGTGGCTGCGGCTGTAATCCAGCTGCCAGAGCTTCAGGTAGTAGGCGCTCCTGGAGGCGGAGACGACAGTGACCTGAAGCAGCGCCAGGCCCGTGACGGCGGCCCCCATGCCCGTGAAAGAGTCCAGGAGCAGCCCCTGGGATAGGCACCACACCTGCGGCAAGAGGCAGAGGCAGAGGACGGGTACCGATGAAGCAGAGCGTGCTCATGCAAAGCTGTCCACCAGCCCTGACCACAGGAGGCCTGGCTTTGATCTGTCTACAGCAAGGTCACCCACCTGGGTCCTGGGGAGCCCCACTCCAGATAACCCTCCTGGCCAGATGAGCTCTGAATTACATACATGTACGGGTCAAATGTTTAAGTGATCGCAGTGAAATCGGTGGTTGCACGATGACCTGTGGAACCTGCTCACCCGTATAGTTTCGTCCAGTGACCCAGTGACCACCACACTGCGGTTCTCTGCTATGGCCGCCGTCAGCACATTATCTTCATGTTCAAAGCTATGCGCCAAGAACCTCTCCATTGAGTCAGCGGTGACCCGGAACATTGCAATGTGCTTTGCATAGCCTGCATTATAAAAGAAAACACAAACCAACATGTATCTCTCACTGCTCATAAATGCAGACGAGCTCCTCGCTGTCCATGTACAAGACACTGATGGAAATTTCACCTTTTAACTCTGTTTAGTTGAATGAAGGCTTGATATATTATTTTAAGGAAGGTAGCCATTGACTTTGGTAAGTTTAAAAGTCTTATTCTCATCAGAATTGGAAATTGTACTTGTATGTTTGTTAAGTCCGTTAATACGAATTGCCAGTGTAGCGAGGGCAGCAGGGTGGCTCAGTGGTCAGCACTGCTGCCTTGCAGAGCTTTGGCCCCTAGTCCAGTTCTGGACCGGAGCTGCTAGAGTGTGCCCTGCGATGGACTGGAGTCCCGTCCAGGGTGTGTGAGTGTGTGTGTGCCCTGCGATGGACTGGAGTCCTGTCCAGGGTGTGTGAGTGTGAGTGTGCCCTGCAATGGACTGGAGTCCTGTCCAGGGTGTGTGAGTGTGAGTGTGCCCTGCGATGGACTGGAGTCCTGTCCAGGGTGTGTGAGTGTGTGTGTGACCTGTGATTGACTAGTAGATACCTGCCCCCTAGTGTTCAGTAAAACTTACTATGATTTAAGATTTACCTGCACACAGAACTGTTTCATCATCAGACACAGCAAGAAATGAGACAGAAGAAGAAACATTTGCAACAGAACACCTCTCGTCATCTGACACCTACAGAGGAAGCAGATTAAAATTAAAGTAGGTCTGTTTTAAGGGCTGGGTTTTGTAAGAGCACAATGATTTGTTCATAATGTTCCCCAGAATAAGACAGGACTAGGTTTCTGAATACTGGTTTTAGAGTTAGTATTGAGTTCATGGTCCAAGCCTGGATATTCCACAGATATTTCTGAAAAGATTTAAAGTGGACAAATCAAGAACGTGACATTTTTCAATTGCAAGGGGTCATTCCTCAGTCTTCCTTCCGAGATTCTGCAGCATTCTGTCCTTCCACTCACAAGCACTTTCTAATAATAGCAGCACACTTCAAAATTCAGAAGCATGAGTCAACAAACACAGACACAGCATCGGACACAGGAGCAGGGTCCAATTCATTTGTGACAATGTCTCAGGTACTTGTTACAGTTTCAGAGGGTTTACCAGAAAAACTGATCCTTCCCTGGAGCCAGCGACCACTCTTCCACATGTTCTTAGCGGCAGGACGCAGGTCCAGGTCAGTTTCAGGTCATCCATCAGCGAACAGGCACGTTGTTTCAGACCGGTAGTGCTGTCCCAAAACGTAAGGACCCCCTCATCAGAGAGGGAGACTACAGCTGCCCCCTTCCCCTGGAGAACAGCAAATACTGCAGCGTCACCCCCCTCGATGTGGAACAGGAGCTCTGCCGTTTCGAGGTCCCAAGCGCTCATCTGTTCAGACAGATGTGAGAGAAAGCAAAGGACACGTTCAGCTGGTTTTTAACTCGGGTGGTGAAACAAGAGCCTTCATTTTTAAGCAAGACCAGGAGGAAGGTTCTTCATTCAGGACACTCCTGGCAATGGCCAACAATCTGAGAGAGGGAGCTCCTGTGAGTGGCCTGTGGTTGCATGTGAAATGACAGCAAATAATGCTCCTGAGCAACCAGTGATGGTGCCTGACTTAATTGGCCCACATGCTCCTGCTTTTCCAGACTAGGCCATGAGATTAGCCATATGTCACTGGGATTCCTCAATTAGCTACACAAAGCTGGCAGAGCACTGATGAGGATGGCTAGGCGTGAGGAGGACAAGGTCTTTCTTAGCTTTCTGTGCAGGAACCATTCCTAGGACCTGCTCACTGTCCTGCAGGCCTGCAGCAACACCAGTTTGAGTAGCACCTCTCCTCCAGTTTGCACTAACTCTCCTGCAAGGGGCTGTGGGGCTCACAGCCTGTCAAACAACTAGGGCTCACGGAGGAGCAAACAAGCTCCTTCCTCTTGTGCAGCATGGGGAATTCGCTCACACGTGATAAACAATCACCATTTCAGAACCGGAAAGAACAAGAGAAAGGTTACAAACAATTGGAAGCCATTAGGCCCACTGGCCTGTCTGAGAGTTGATGACTGATTCAAGAAAGAAACCATGGTACTGGCTTCAACAACATGGCTGGGTAGCTTGTTCCACACTCTCACAACTCTTTGTGCAAAAGACATGTCTCCTGGTCTTGGTTTTAAATGCACTTCTACTTAGTTTCCATGTGTGTCCTCTGCTTCATGTCTCACTGGTCATTCTGAAGACGTCCTTCCGTGTTGACCCTGTTGGGGCCTTTTGAGGATTTTTAATTCTCGTATCAGGTCCCCTTGTAGTCTCGTAAGGAAACAAAGCACTTGGAGACTCCAAATAATAAGAGAGACACAGAACTACTGATGATGTGAAACGTTTGGCTGTACCTGCGATCCACACGTTGAATAGATGACTCCCCTCTGCTCTGTCACGTGACGCTGGGTGCAGACTGGGGCACCGAACGGTCCCTCGTTAATGCAGTAAATCTGCTTCCCACTCAGCAGGTCCCACAGCCGCAGGGTGCTGTCTCTGGACGCCGACAGACAGCGAGCTCCCTTGTCCAGCACCTTCACACTCTGCACCTCCGCTACCAACAACCACAACGCATTTACTTCCAGCTACCAATCGCTTTACTAAAGCAAGATAAACAATTACAGTATCTGCAGATCCACAGTCACTTTTCAAGCAAAGTATATTACTTTTTACCACCTTCCCTAAATATACATTTTCGTACAGAACAACTTGTTTGGATTCAGCATATTACATCAATAGAAGCGAAGGTAATCTTTGTCTTTCTGATTGCAGATTTTGGGCCAGATGTATTTAAACAAATATCATGAACTTTTGATCTATAAGTAGCTTCTAAAATATAGAATTGATACCAGTGTTTTTTATCAGCTTGTTAATTCTTCACTTGATTGCTTCAGTGAGCTTAAATCTGACCTGGTGAACGACTTTCTAAAGTCTCAAGACCTCTGTCTCAGTAATCAGCTGTGTCAGTGTGTGCTGGTGGCAAAGGAACTAGTGAAGCTAATCCCAGACTGAAAATGTTGAACACCGCAAGAAGAAACACAGCATTTTAGCTGTTGAATCTTTGGGTGAGAGAGAGAGTGATAATAAAGGACAAACGAACACAGTACAGAGCAGGGGTGAGAATGGGCACAGGTGAGGAGAATTCACAGGAAGGGGGAAATGAGGAAGAGGTGTGAAAAGCTGAAATCTGTTAATGAATGGAGAAGATTGGAAAAGACAGACTGAGTTCTTTATAAATCCTCACCATCCATTCTCACATTCTCTGTCCTTTCCTCTCCTGTGCTTTCAATTCCAGCCACCTTATTCTCTCTCACACCTGTACAAGGCTTATTCATCTTTCTATTTTTCAGCACGGAATGAACCTTTACTTGTTATGAGATATTCTCAGACCTACTGTTTCCGTCAACATTGTTCTTTTTACTGTATATATCCGGACTTTCCTTTGCCAGCCTGACCTTGAGAAGTGTTTCCTCCCCTCACCTGTGTGGCCAAACAGTGTGTGGACAACTTCTGTGTCCAGCAGGTTCCACACGATCATTCTTCCCTCCTCAGAGCCCACAATCAAGAGACCCTTCTCAGCACACAGGTCCATCACCGTAACTCCTTTAGAGGAGAAGGTTAGAACTGTATTTTATTGTTCTTATCCTAAGGAAGCTGTATTACAGCTGGAGGCTTATCCTCAGATGTTTAAGTTCTTGCCTGACACTCTGCATATATCATGCATATATATTCTTTATATTTTTAGTTGCTTCCTACAATAAGAATTTGAACAATTCTGATAATATTGTATAAGGCTAGAACATGAAAACTGAATTGGAATTTAGTTACCGAATGCATGATTTCTATAATTTGATCATTTTAACATTTGCTCTGAATGACTGCACAATTTGAAGTTCTGCTACAATTTATGTCTAGAATTTCTGGATCAAAAAAAGAGATGCACTCCGCCCAATGGTCCTCTGATGCCATTGCAATTTTCATGCACTCACCAGCTCCAGCTTTGTAAGGTTTGAAGGTGGCAGAGCTGCTGATATGATTAATAAAAATTACTTATTTTTAGAGATTGATAAATGAATTAGCATGGCACAGCATCCCAAAACCCACCCTAAAAGCCACAGATGAAGTCTTGGTCACATAAGTTTTCATAGAGCAGTCCGTCCAAAATCTTATTTTCCTAACCTGATACCGAAATCTAGGTGATTGTAAAGAAACAGCCATTACTCAGCAGTCTGTGACAGTTTGCTCTGCAGCTGCATTTGCCCAAGACATGGATAGTAAGATCTGCTGGGGCTGCACACTGTACCTTTCTGAAATCCTGTGAGAGTAGTCTTCAGAGGACCTCCTGGAGCCTGGAAGAAGCCACACTGAGGGATAAGTATTGGGTTCTTACAGGCAGAGAACCAGTCCTGGCACTGAACGCACAGGCGCCCGATCAGCGAAGGGTATGAGTCAGCAAAGCAGCAAAGCCTGGTGAAGACTTCGGTGTAGAAGAGGGAAGGGTCTATAGGAGAGAAAGAAACCAAAAGGAACATAAATCAGAACGTGCAAGAGTCTTCACGATGCACAGGCAAAATCCAGTCTTACCCATTTGTCCTTCGATGAAATCCAGTGTAGGTTTCAGCAGCAGACACGTGTCTCGTATGAGCTGGAGCTCAGGGCTGTCGCTGTGTTCAGTGCACATGGACAGGTCTTCAATGACCTCTGCTATTCCCCAGGTAAGGGTCTTACAGCACAGCCAGTCTGTATTACCTAAAGTAAGAGAAAACATGTGTCAAGCAGCCTGTGGTCCAGCATTGAGTTTATTCTATCTTATCACTGCTTATTACTGCTACTAATACTACTGCCAATATTTAGGACTAACTTGACTCTGGGCTATAAGAGATTGCTGGATAGCCAGTGATGAGGCTATCAGTATTAAGTGTTCCTTCCCTGAGCCCATGATCTCTCTCAGTACCCCACAAGGGTTCCAAACTCGTGCAGTTTCATTCTGTTATAAACTGCAGGCAACTGCCAGCATTCAGATTCTCCAAAGGGATAGGGAAGCTGCAGTGTGTACTGTAAGTCCTTCGAGAGTACGAGACGGCTGGGAAGGGAACACTGATTCGGTTGCTAAATAGCCCTGGTTTCTAAGGTGGTACCTGAGGGATCTCTGGAAGGGGCCAGTAAAAAAATGAACTAATCTCAAAGGAGATTACAAAGGAATCGAGGAACACCATGGATTAACAAGAGAGATTGTTGTAGTTCACAGAGGGGAGGCGAAACTTAATATCCACAGGGATCACTGCGTCTGGGAATCAGTGAGCAAAGGGCTCAGAGATCTAGACTGTGTTGAAGCTCAGGTGGAGCGAGAGTGCTAACTACAAGAATCTTCTCTGGTGACTTAATCTGGCGCCGTGATATCAGAGTCTCGGTGGTAGCTGAGAGTTTCCCTGCAGAGGAGGAGCTCTCGGATGAGAGTACCTCCAGCAATGACAGGCAGAATCTCACCTCTAAGTATATTCCCTAAGGTTAGGGAGAATCTGGGTATCCAGTGCTAGGGTACTCATGCTCTGGAAAAAGGTTTGGAGACTTTAGACCTGAGCTGCATAGCGACAGAACCCTCAAGGAGAAACCCAGTTACAGGCCGCAGAACAGCCACAGAGTCACAGGTTTGTATTGAAGAGCTGCACACCTCTGGGCAGGTGGCACACAAAATGGCATTAAGTCAGAAACTAGTCGTCACTCCATAAGCCTTAGGCAGCGGAGGTCAGTTTTCATGGCCAGACTTTGCTCACTGCCCTGGAGCAGGGGTTTTTGATATGAGAAAGGCAGTTAAGCAATGTTACAATTTTAAGGGATGTTATTTTGGATTGTTATTCATTTGGAGCTGAAAGTGTTACTATCCTGTCTGTAACTGTGAGCTGCTACAGGAATAAAACCTCAGTTATTGACATACCATCCTGTGCTGGTATGTGGGTACACTGATGGCACTGGGGGTCTGACAGCCTGTGCAGAGAGAAGGGGCCCAGTGCCTGTAGAACTTGTCACTATTGTGCCACAAACACTCAGCACACAGTAACAGAAACGTGATTCTTTCCTTATGATCTCTATTTGGTTCTGAACTTTAACTTGACCAAAGATCTCACCAATCACTTCCTGTCGGAGCTCCTCCCAGCGCCCTGCATGAAGGAGGTGATAGGGCAGCTCCTGCAGCTTCCTCCGATTGGCCACGTGCTTGGTGAACCACAGGGGCTGGGGTGCCACCTGCTCAACACACAGGATGTACTGTAACACTACAACAAACACTTCCCAGTCCAGTTACAGAGACGTGTGGCCTCAGATCAGTGGACCTGATTAATATAAACTGCAGCTGTTCAAAAACTCTTCCATCATGCCAGAAGGTTGGAGCACCAACAACTTAGACCCAGTATAATCAGAAAACTATTCCAAACAAACCTATCAATCCTATTGATTTAATTTTAAAGGGAAACACAAACTAAGTGCCTTTTGAGTTTAGAAAAGAGATTTGGTTGGGTCTTACCAATATCACCCCAACAATGGACTTCCAAAACATAGTGAAACTACTGTACACTGATCAAAATCTGAAACACATTTGTGACTTAAATTATAAGCACCGCAGGGTCAACTAGAGAAGTCAGGCCTTCCTGCGTACCTTTCTGTCAGCACTCAGGCTGGTTTTCAGTGAGGGCAGGAGCACAGGCTTTCTGTTCCCCTGGCTCCACGTGCCCAGGAAGAATTCAGACAGGATGCTGTGACTTTGGCTCCTGCGCTCCGCTGAAAGGTATCTCTTCTGGACCATTTCAATAAACTGTCTGTCGAAGAGAGAGCAGATCACTCAGTGGAATGCTGGTTATTCTTCTGAGTGCCTGTGCATTTTTACAAGTTGTTGTATGGGCTGAACACATGGACCGGCAGACCGGCAGGGAGAAACTCCCTGGTTTCTCCAGCCTTGACCAATGATTAAACAAATGTGTTTCGCTGCTGCATCAATTACATGGGTTTAGATTTACATAAAGAAATGCAAACTCCTAGGTTAGGATTATGGGGTCAGATGAGAGGTTTAACATAATCTCTTTCTTATCTGTTCAGGTTTGTGAACTCCTAACAGCTTTATAGTCCAGTTTATTGATGTTTTAATTTAAATGAATATAGAGGGAAAACCAAAACAATAGGAGTGAGAGATGAGGCAATTTAATATTTAGAATGTGTTTTTTTAACTGATAAAAGCTGTTTTTAGGTGTTTTTTTAAAAGATGTTGCTTTCTTTGGGCAGTCAGCACAATGACAGACCAACATGTAAAGAAGAGAAATGAATAAAAAGTGATGTTAAAATTCTGCATTTTCTGCCTTCACAATTGGAAAGCTACAAATTGAATGAACTACTTGGTGAATCTTACTTTCTTTTTCAACATTACTTTTCACAAATGCTTGCCAGTTGTTGGATCTGGAAAAGGGAAATGTAACAGTATTCTTGCTTTATTGCTCCACAGTCCTCTAAGCCTGGGTCCGCTCCTCGTGGTCGAGATGTGCTTGGTTCACCTGTGATAGAGCCCCAGGACTCTGGTCCCGTCAGACTGCCGTTCCACCAGATACTCAGCCAGGTCGTGCCGGAGCCTCGTCCACAGCAGGGGGGGCAGGCGGATGATCTCATGGTTCGGCGGGGGCCAGTACTGGTAGATGTCAGCAAGAACGGCATCATCCAGGGACAGGACGTCCTGCAACTCGGCCTCCGTCAGCCCGCGCCTGCAGGAGGATCAAAAGCTTTGGGCTCAACCAGAGTGCTCGGTGCACGCATCTCAAAATTTATTTTCAACAAAACAAAATTTCCTTTCAATAAGACCCTCAATATTTCCCATAATTTCACCACAGAGAACTTTGCTTTGACAGGGCCTTGAGCTTAATTAGATGGAAAAATGTATATTTTTGGAAAATAAACTTTTCTAAACAATGGAATGTTTCACAAGAAAAGATTCACATTCTTGGTGGACTCCAACTAAATTATTTTAAATTCTTTGAATTCTTTAAACAAGGACCAGAAACATTTTGAGTCTGATTGCTTCATTACTTTGGAGCCACAGCTGCAACTCTATTAGATAATGTTGGGCCACCTACTTTGACAAGACAATGTATCCCAAAGCGTGGCTCACGAGCTGTTCTCCATGCTGCTTCTCCAGGCGCTCGAAGAGCAGTGACACTGCCTCCTGAGTTGTGCTTGCAACCCGGAGCTCAGACAGGGGTGTGTAGGATGTCCACTGTTTGGCAGCATCTAGGGTCAGCTTCATCAGCAAAGGATGACCGCAGTGACTGAAGCTCTGGAGCACGAGCTCCCTCTGCGCTGGAGTCAAACAGCGCTTCACCGCGCTCATGTAGGAATCAATGACTTCTCCCCCTTGGTCCTGAGACAGCTGCTCAACCTTGAAAAAACTCTGTGGCTCCAAGATCACCCCTCGGAGGACCTCCAAAATGGAATATCCCTTCTCCAAAGTGGAGACGATGAGGTGAACATTTGGGGGGATCTCCTTAGGTAGCCAGTGCAGTTTGTGGGCATTGTTAGAGGGTGACAGCTGGTCCAGGGAGTCTAGAATGAGGACAAGTGGCTCGTTCTGTTGTGACACGGCATCAAGAGTCCGGTGGAAGAACCTCACCAGATCTTCATAAGTGTTGGCGGTTTGCGTAGTGGGAAAGGGCAGCCCAAAAGCACCACAGATCTGAAAGCAGATGGTCTTCAAAACAGAGTCAATCTCGGAGCTCAGAGGTGATGTACCCAGAAGCCTCAGCACCACAGCCGCCCCAGAGCCCAACACACAATACACCTCCTGTGCCAGCTTGCACATTATGGCCGTTTTCCCAATGCCAGAAGGTCCATAAACAATCAGAGGCCCATGATGGCTGTTGTTTGAGTCCTGGATGGCTTTGCAGATGCTGTTTAGGAGGTTACCTCGCCCACAGAATACGGCACACTTGGCCAAGCTCAGAACTATGTGATGAGTGATCTCACGAAGAAGCCAACCCCACTCCTTCTCTCCCGTAGTTTGTGCAGCCCTTCTGCTGATCTGCTGCTTCATCTGGGAGACAAACTGCTTACAGAGGCTCTGCAGGTACTTGGCGTGTTCCTGGCGTTGTGGGTCAATGGCTCCCTTGCTGAGCTGCACTGAATGTACATTGAGCTGTCCAGAACAAAAGCTTGAAATCCGGGCCTTCAAGCTGGACAGGAGCTCCTGGGCCTCCAAGTCCACAAGTCCATCCCTGGTGACATCAATGAACTGGGAGACGCTCTCCTGGCTGTTGGTCCTGCTGAGGTTAGGTAGCTCCCTCAAGAAGAGCACTGCATAGGTCTCATTGTTCTGTCCCTCCAACATACCCTGCTCAATTTCCCACTCTGTCACTAAGCAGAGAAAGAGACATTTATTTCACTTGGGTTTATCACAGGCACATTTTTTTTGGTGGATGTCTGACTGCTAAAACCTATCAATTGGTACCTGATTTGAAAAACCTGTGCTTCTGCTCCTGGGTGAAGTTTCCGTCAGTTTCCGCTTGAGCTGCAGCCACTCGGAGCAGCCGGGAGAGTTGGGCTTCTGTGGTCTGCCAGGCCCTGATGTCCCTCTCCCTCTGCAGCTGGCTCCCTGGGCTGTTATCGTCATAGTGACGGAGGTGGGTGGTGATTGGCTGGAGGATGTAAACGGGCGGGACCGAGTTCTCATCCTTCCAAAACCACTGGCTGAGGAGCTTCACCGCGTCGCCGTCGGGGTGGAGCTTGGATAGAAGGAGCTCAAACTCCTCGTCCCGGATGACCCGGGGGATGGGCCGGTAGCCATACCGATTACCAACGAGGGCCTGAGAGAAGAAACGAGGTCTAAACCTGGGCCAGTAGAAGCTGGTTTCACTCACTCTGTGCAATTAGCAATCAGAATAACTCTTTTTTCAAACCTTCACAAAGCCAGCTGCTGAGACACACATGCGAAGAAGCAAATTTGAACAAAGAGCTAGGGTTCTAGTATTGATGACTTAACTAGAAATACATACAGTATACCCAGAGAAAACTATAATATCACAAAAGAGCTATTTAAGATCACAAGACCCAGGTGGACATTTGACCCATTTTGCATGATATGGGAGCTACTATATGGCATACATAACTTTGGAAACAGAGATACTTTAAAGAAGGAAGTTGAAGGCATTGTGAAACAGTCCTTATTGAACAGTTGGCCACCAGTAAGGAGCAACGTATTCCACTCACAGTGAAGGTGGGGCCCACAGACACCCTCCGACATGATTGAATCTCCTGGAGGCACAATTCGGTGGTCATGTGATCCACAACTACGGTATCGCGGACCCCCCATCTCATATCCACAACCTAGGAAAGTAGATTGTCAAGGCATGTGTCTGAACACCAGGATTTCACTCTGAGTTTTTAAAGAAAGTAACAGGAGCACATTAGAATAACTGATGACTCCAGATGTCAACCATTTACCAAAGACATCTGTCCTGTTCTTTAAAATGTTCAAATTACACCTGACTTGGTGCAGTTTTAATTGGACTTGCTCTCCTTTATAAAACCATGGCACTCAACCCTTTCTAATAACGTGACCCAGAAACAGGTCTTTGGAATTATACACACCTCGAAGACTAAGCCGAGACTCTGACAGTAGACTTGTAGTTCTGGGTAAGCTTTTTCCAGCAGAGCATCTCTCTCGCTGCTCATGTCTAAAACACAAAATTGATTTACAGTGTCTAAACCTTTGGAACATCTTTTCAGTGGGCAATGAGCACATATTATCCTGAGCCTAGGCTATTTTTATTCTGAAGAAAATGTGTAGGGAGGGCTTCATACTTTTACAATAAACCATTATCAGGATTTTAACCCCTTTAATTTGAATTTCTGTACATTATTCAAACAGGTGAGGCGGCACGTAGGAACTTATCTCCCATCTTTTTATTGTGTAAGGACAGTGATAGGTTCTGGGGGATTTTTGTTCTCCAGAGCTAGGTTTAGGTGACTAACCTCCCCTAATCAATTTGCAACTGCAAACAGAAACTGTGGGAACAGGAAACTTTGCATCAGGACAACCGATTGATGTTTTAAAAATAGACTTACCTGAGAAAGTTGAACTGATAAAGACTCGAACCACACTGGACCTGAGCTCCGATATTCCACTGGCATGTCCCTTTAGAAGGTCGAGCCCTAGCGTCTCTTTCATAGATGCTGCAGTCATTTTCACTCATGGATTTCCTTGGGATTCTGCCCTTCTTACTATCATAATGGTGAACAAGTCCTGTTGGAAAAAATATATACAGTGCCTTGCAAAATTATTCAAACCCTTCCTGTGATGTTCAATTCTTCCATTTTCCAATCACTTTATCCAATTCATGGTTATTGGGGAGCCAGGGCCTATCCTGACAAGCAATGGGCACAAAGCAGGGCACACCCAGACACTCAACCCAAAGCCAATTACCCTACCAGTATTCTTGGTACAGAGGAAACAATGCAAACACATAGAGAACATACAGACTCCACAGTGACAGCACCCCAGGACTGGAACTGAACTCAGGCCCCAGCACTGCGCCATCATGCTGCCCACCTATGGTGCCCCTTGTTGTAAAATTACAAAATGCATATACATTATGAAAACTTCATATTTCATTCAAAATCTATTCCACTTGCAGTGTATTTGCAAACTGAAGATATCTCAGTTATCTTAGTAAGTTTCAGAAAATAACAGTGTGAGAAAGGCAAGAGGAGCCCACTTAGCTCATTTATTCTGTTTTGCAGTTAATTGATCCCAGATCTTAATCAGCTGTTTCTTAGGCCATTTCTCAGCCACTGGCCTCACACCCCCCTCCACCTCCCCCTGGTCTGTCGCTGATGGGCAGGGGCAGCCTGATCTGGGAAATGTCTGGGTGTTACGATGCACATTCCACTAACTGATGACTGAGCAGACCGTGCAATATGAAGGTAAATTTCTACCAATATATTTCTATCTGTAAAAAAACCGCAAGAGTTATTGAAGCACGGAAACGTGGGCATGCTGAAGGACAGCAGTCCATGACCTGCTAGCAACAGAACCAATTAAGAAACAATATAGGCAAAACTGTCTGTTGTTACCTTTCAGTGTTTTTTGACAAAAAAAAATACTATTTAAATTTTGATATGCAAAGGAAAAGCGATCAGATTTTATTATCCATAATGGAGCAAATTCCTTGAACGGGGAGCGATCGGGACGGTCCTCTCTAAGGTGTGGAGGAAAAGTTTGATCCCTCGTTAGACTTACTCGTTTAATCTTCTCGGGCATGCGAGGGCTGGAGAAGAGCGCACTTTTGTGCCAGATTCCTACCTAAAACTAAACAATTATACAGTACACAACACAACCTTTTTCAAGACTTAAGGTGGGAGCTACATCACTACCACAAGGTTTAGCATGTGACTACATTCAGCTTGCATCCGATTATAATAATACTTAGCAAATAATGTTAAGTGTTGATTAAGAACGCGAAACGTTACAAACGAGAGGAGCCCAAACATGTCATGTAACGGCTTTGGTTCCTGAAAGCCAAGCAAGTCGAGGATTTGATCCAGCTGCTTCTTTAAAAAGTCCAGTGTGCTGGCATCTAAGATTTTTCTGAGGGATACAATTTATTATTTCATAAAATGCAAGAAAACAAGTCATTTTACCGTGTATGCCGAGTCGTGGGTGAACGCTGCAGCGACGTTATTAGAAGTGGTTTAGTGCTGCTGAGATCATTTTGAAGTGTTTCATCTGGGGGTATTACAAGCTGTTTAGTGGAGCAAAGCTTTTCTTCAACGTTTCATCCTTG